TGGTCAGTTGGCCATGGAAATACCCAGGCATATTAGCGTACATATGCAGAGTTCATATGGAATAGAAATTTTGCATGCTCCAAGTTTTTGGGTTTAATTGTTTTATGTGGCCAGAAAAAGTTCATATACAGTGAAATTGCAAGTGCTGATGTCCTCGCATGTAAATAAAAACACCCAATTTTTACAAACCTGGACCAATAGGTGAATTTACTGAGGCAGTTATATGACATTTAAATTTATTGTAGACAATTAAAGAAAACACTAGGAAATGGAATTAAAGGTAGAGTAGATCATTTGCAGCTATCCAAAAAGTAAATGTCCAAATGATTGCTAATAACTTACTTGGTTTAAAGTTATTAATGGCATAAAACTCCCTGTGACATTTCTTTTCTGGCATGCTGTCAGTCTCAACCCAAGATTCTGAATAGTAACAAATCATCCCCTTTCCTCCAGGCCGAGCAGGGTTTTTTTTTTTGATGTGGTATTTCACTGCTTAAAAGAAGAAACAACTTGTGTTAACCATTGCAGACAATTTTGCTTAAACCTTAAGTACTATTGCACGGCGTGGATGGAGATGTCAATTGTTTTGTCAAATTTTCCTGCATTCTGCTTTAAAGTGTCGCGTGTAATGTCTTAACGCGAGTTGCAAGTGTTTTTACTTGAAGATTTTGCCAACAAATTTGAGAGCAAATCTTTATCTGATTTTCCAGCTTTTGTTTCTTCATCCTGAAGTGATTTATTGACATCTGTTGAGGAAGGAAATGAGAGAAATTTGCCAAGTAAAAACAATGATGCTTTTGTTTGGAAAAAAACAAACATTGTAGTTCCTTATTAACAAACTGACGGCCTTTGCACAGCATTTTAAAAGTTTCATTCGCAGACCGAGCAACAATCATGGCAACACTGAAGCTTTTTTGTCTGCTAATCGGTTCCTTTTGTATTGGGACAGCAATGAGCAAAACACTTTTTTCTAGCTCCCTATCATTAAGTGCCAGCTCAAGTTCTGTTCTGAGTTTTTCAATTACCACTCCGAGCCAGATAGTGGAAGCTGGTACAAATGTGGTTCTCAAATGCCGATTCTCTGGTAGGGTAGACTGTCGCGACCTGTACTGGTACTGCGGACCCACCATGCTGTCCCACTGTGACCAAATTACTAGTAACGACAGTCATATCTCAGTAATTAACTACAATGCTAACCGGAACTCGTTTCGGTTGAGGATCCAAAGAGCAAGTCCTACAGACAGTGGCGAGTACTCCTGTGGGCTGTTAAGAGATGAAGATAACATGACTGATTCCGAAACTTCTGGCTCCGGCTACTCCCCATCCCAGGAGTACGAGGAGGGTTCAGCAACACTGATAGTGCTTAATGTCACAGAAACTCCCCCAGTATGCAAGCGTGTGCATGCTGATCGTGTGGGACAGACCATTTCCATGATGTGTAGCCCTCCTGAGGATTCCTATCATGCTCTCTTGATCTGGTACGCTAAGGACTACGGAATCATCCAAGGCCCTCAACTCACTAAATCAGACAGTTTCCTGAACATAACCAAAACGCTCCAAGAAAATGACAACTTCAAGGAGTTTGTGTGCCTTGTCACCACTAGTGAGAGTACCATTGACTTTACTGGCCCCCAATGTTCCCTCACTCCACTCCAACTTCACTTCGTAGTCGCTGTTGCCCCGCACGTCGCCTGGATCCGCCAGGGCCAACTGGCTAATTTCACTTGCGTGACCCAGTCAGTGTCTGCTATCAAGCGCTACCGTTGGTACGTCCTGTCGGGGGGAAAAATCAGCGCAGTGGACCCTCACTGCTCATATTGCCGCTACAAGGTTGTAGAAGGGGGCAAGGTGCTTCAGATTCCTGAGGTAGGAGCTGACAAAGATAATGATGTGAGGGTGAAGTGTACAGCTTCCAACGGCCTGCAGGAAACAGAGCACAGCCACTGGGGGTTGTTGTCAGTACTGACCAACACCAGCGCAGGAGAGAAGTTGGATGAAGACAACACTGCGACAAACCACAGTCATGTTGTCCCTGTGGTTCTTGGAATCCTGGTGAGTGTTTGCCTCTCCGTGGCGGCAATTGCCCTGATGTATTACATCCTGAGGAAGAGACTGAAGCGTAGACTGGACATGCCGCAGCAGAACAATGCTGATGGGCAACGCTACCAGGGCGTTCCAATGAAGCCTCTGGCTAGCCACAGAGAACCAGCTGTGAGCAGGCGTGTTGTGGACCCGACAGAAGCGGCCTACGAAGTCCCCACATCTTAGATCAGAGGTGACGTCCCTCCCGAGTTGCCAGACAAGGAGTGCTGGTACGAGCTTGTGAATATGCAGGTGCAGCATCGGGGGACAAGGGCTAACCAGGGACCTGTCGATGGGGAGGAGACTCTCTATGACATACCACGACCTCAGCAGGTGTAAGAGGTATGTCTCAGTGCAGATTTGTGGTCAAGCTCTCACAAATCCATCATAAGTCCATCACAAATCAATCTTATGACAATACAAATGTTCATTTTTCGGCCAAAATTGAAAATATTGCAAGGGGTTAGCCTTACTTTTTGATCAAATTTGGCCAAATATTGACTTTTCCCCAAACAAATCAGAAATGTCTTTGGATGCAAGAGGAACATCAATCGGCCTTCAAACACTAAACATATTGAAGATTTGGGCAAAAATCACCGACTTATTGAGACAAAAATTAATAATTTTCACTAATTTTGACCTAAATTATCAACGCAATCTTTCTTTTCAATGCCCGATATCTGTCCAAAATTCCAGTTCGAATGTGCTCTAGGACCCTCAGGCATCTTCCCTGCAAGTTTCAGGCAATTTCATGTTTCGGCCAAAATTGAAAAAATTGCAAGGGGTTAGCCTTACTTTTTGATCAAGTTTGGCCAAAAATTGACTTTTCTCCAAACAAATCAGAAATGTCTTTGGAAGAGGAACATCAATCGGCCTTCAAACACTAAAGGTATTGAAGATTTTGGCAAAAATCACCGACTTATTGAGACAAAAATTAACAATTTTACTAATTTTGACCTAAATTATCAACGCAATCTTTCTTTTAAATGCCCGATCTGTCCAAAATTCCAGTTCGAATGTGCTCTAGGGACCTTCAGGCATCTTCCCTGCAAGTTTCAAGCAATTTAATTTTTCGGCCAAAATTGAAAAAATTGCAAGGGGTTAGCCTTACTTTTTGATCAAATTTGGCCAAAAATTGACTTTTCTCCAAACAACTCAGAAATGTCTTTGGAAGAGGAACATCAATCGGTCTTCAAACACTAAAGGTATTGAAGATTTGGGCAAAAATCACCGACTTATTGAGACAAAAATTAATAATTTTCACTAATTTTGACCTAAATTATCGAGGCAATCTTTCTTTAAAATGCCCAATCTGTCCAAAATTCCAGTTCGAATGTGCTCTAGGGACCCTCAGGCACCTTTGCTGCAAGTTTCAAGCAATTTCATTTTTCTGCCAAAATTTTTAAAAAAATGCAAGGGGTTAGCCTTACTTTTTGATCAAATTTGGCCAAAAATTGACTTTTCTCCAAACAACTCAGAACTGTGCAAGTCAGTCACATGTCAATCACAAGTCAGTCAGAAGTCAGTCACATGTCAACCATAAGTCAATCACAAGTCAATCACAAGCCAGTCACATGTCAACCTTATTCAACTTTTGATGGGCTTGTGATCTGAACCTGTGAAACTGATTTTGAAATAACCCTATGATTGTGGGGATTTATAAGACCACATTCCACTATTGTTCAATTACATCCGGAGCTTTTATAGTGTTTGGGAGAAAACAAGTTTATGGTGTGTTTTAAAATGTCACATCGTCGAGTGCAAATTGAGTCTAGTTGATTTTCAATTGATATTTTAAGAGTCAATTTTGGAAAAATCATTTTAAATCAATCAAAAAAACTGTTACAGTCACGTAAAGGAAGTATATACAGTGTGAAGTAATTCTTAATCTTTGGATCAGAGTTGTTGTATTTCAAAATGTTGTGGCTAGAAAGTATGCCAAGAGAGAAGGAACTAGTCTCCAAACCTGGCCTCCAAAATAAGGAAACAGGAAAGATTAAGATGTAGACCAGACTTATTTGATAGTTTTCGTGTATTAAAGTTCCTGAATGTGGTCAGTTGGCCATGGAAATATGCAGGCCTAAAGCGTATCTATGCATTGGGTTCTTATGAAATAGACATTTTGCATGCTCCAAGTTTTTGGGTTTAATTGTTTTTATGTAGCCAGAAAAAAAAATCATATACAGTAACAGTGTAAGTACTGATGACCTTGCATGTAAAAAAAAAAAAAAACAAACGTTTTTAACAAACCTTCTAGACCAATAACTGAATTTACAGAGGCATTTGCATGATATTTAAATATATTGTAGACAGTTAAAAAAAAAAACACTGGGAAATGGAATTAAAGGTAGAGTAGATCATTTGCAACTATCCAAAAAGTAAATGTCCAAATTATTGCTAAAAAAGCTTACTTGGTTTAAAGATATTAATGGCATTAAAAATCCCTGTGAAATTATTCCTTCTGGCATGCTGTCATTTTGAAGAAAACAATAAAAGATGGTCATTTCCAAAGATGAGTCAAGTCACACATTTTTGGAAATTTTTGTCAGTGCATGTAGTTGGTTTGTAATTGGGTGCAAGCGTTGACACGACACACACCACACGCAGTTGCTACTATTCACGGTTCAGTTTACAAGTAGCTGCAATTGGCTGATTGAGAACGTGTTACGGGTGCTGATTTCGGCCACAATTCAAAACATGTCTCGGGAACTTTCAAATTGTTTTCTTGGAACATACAGCATTCACTGCGCTAAAACTTCATCAAGTAAGTTGTTAAGCACCCATCTTTAGATTTTGAGCACTTTGATTGCTTCAAACGAAACAAATGCACAATTGACAAATGACCTACTTACCTTTAAGGAATGGTACCAACCAGACTTTGCTTTTATAGAATGAGAAGTACAGAACTATCAAATTTATTTTTCAGTCCAGAACGACAAACTTAGTTTCTGTTCACTTTAATTACAACGTGTCATCGATCCAAACAAAATATACATAGATATAAAATATTTCACAATATGTATCAGGAGGTTTTAAGATGACAGAATTTATATACAAGAATGTTCCAGTAAATTATTTTGCATTATAAAAAAATAAGTGTTGCTTATACACAGTGAGTGGAATAGAATATTATTAAATGGACGGAAATAAGGTGGTTTTTTTAAAGCTTTCTTGAGTTATAGTACAATATTAACAAGTAAGTTTTCAAACCAAGTAGGTTTTATAATCATGGTACAAGAAATACCCACTTTGACGAGAACAATACTGCAGAGAACTGAGTTGCAATTTGGTGTTCAATCCAACTTAATAGACATTGAATGATTGACGTTCCTTTTTTTTTTAACCAGGGTAGCCCCATCAGTTATCTAAGAATTTAATGCTTAATTTTAGTTTTACTTATTATTTGCTGTGAACATATTCTTCTTATGATTTCCCATGTAGGCTCTGATTGTACTTGATTTGTTTTGTCTTGTCCTGTTTGTGTTGGTCCCTTGTATATGTGTGTTTGTGTAACTTAAAGTGTACTTCATTGTGTAGTTAAGTTAAAGGAACAAATGTATTTAATATATATTTTTTTCTACGCATAATGGACTTCTCCACTTGACAAGCTTGCTTTTTGGAGAAGCCCACCGCTTAATCTTATCCTGTTATCTAAATTATTGTTTAAACTGTTTCCCTTCAAAATGATTAAGTGGAAATAAATATGAATGAATATAAAACTTCTCTCCCTAGGGACCCTGGATAAATCGTTAAATTCTAAAATACACAAAGACATCTTTTGAACGGCACCAATGACCCAAACTCACCGAACAAATTCTATCATATTCCGTCTGGATGATATATAAACTATATAATCAAGCATTCGCTCTCCATTTATGCAGTTCATTTTTGCAGCATGCTCGTTGCTTATCTTATCTTCGGAAAAAAAAGGTCTGCCTTGCAAAGACTCGAAACCACAATCTCCTGTTTTAAACACTTGATTTGACGTCTTGGGCAAAAAAAATAACATCACTGGCTTATAAAAGTGGATGTGTGTAAGCAACGAACATGCAAATTTACATCTGTTTATTAATTAAGTAAAATTATCTACTCAGAGAATGACAATAAAAAGCTTGACCAAAACGAAGCCTGTCAGAGTCATGACTTCTTAAGGTATTAGGTCATTTTGTTTAAGTTTATTGATGTGTTTGCCTTTTGCAGACTTTAATAGATGCATTCCCCGTGCTATTTTCCAAGTTTTCTCCTGAAAAGTTGATTCATTTTCTAAATTGATATTTTTTTAGCAAGTTATTCATGTTTGAATAAGAAATCGACTGGAAAAAAAATGAGGCACTTAAAAATTGATTTAAGAGAAAAAAATATCCTTTTTTTGAAGAGCACGGGTGATGCATCTTTACCATTGAATGAATGAAGGGCTAAAGTGACTCATTACATGGAGCTCATATAGTGCAAGTTTCCGAAGTTTGGGCTTAACAATTTCCCAAAGACAAAACCAGAGCGTACCACCTTCAGAGAAGGCAAGCAAGACCTCTTTCAGACTAGTGTTCCAGAGTCGCAGGGAACCAAACTATTTCTTAAATTTGAATTAAGGTCAACGTTTGAAACAATTTGGAGCAACTACGGGCAAAACAGCAACTTTTCGGATGACTCCTCGAGATCTGTCACTGACAAAAAATAAATACCTCTGTCAGCAACCCAAATCACTCTGGTTAGACTTGAGACACTCCTAATATGATTTGCTTCCATGCAGCTCTGGATCACTAGTCTGAAACGGACGTAAACCTTCAAGTTTCCCTCTCCGGTGTGAAGCTGCGTTCCGTTGACCGTGACACAGAGCGCATGGAGATCTTGGTCACGTGACCGAGTGATGTCGCGTCATCGTCCTCGTCTTCCACCTCGATGGTGTTCATGAGGGGCGGGGATTGCCGGATGGAGGAACCGGGAGGGGTGCGGGGTGGGGAGGGGTGGGTGACTGGACGCGAAACATCTGTGGCAGGGAACACAATCCGAGAAAAACAAGGCAAAGCAGAGAAAAGAATGAGCATCTTGTTGCAATAATCTGTGATGAATCCAGCTTTGGTCAACTTACTTTCCCAATTTTTCAAGGCCAGGTTTCCCACAAAATTCTTAAAATTAAAAACTATGACTTTTCCATGACTTTTCCAGGACAAAATAAAGGCTTTCCATGACCAATTCTTATCCTGTTTTATTCCATCCGAGGAGCCTATTTTAGATATTGCTTTCAGCCTTCCAGTTTGACCCAAGACCACTGAGCACGACACAGGCATTTGAATGCTGCACTGAACATGCAAAAAGTACATGTATGTACACATTATTAAATGCATAAAGAGGAAGTATAGCAAACTGGAATGCAAACTGGAAGACTGCCACAGCCAAATATTAGCATGTATGACTTTTTTTCCCTTGAATATTGCCTTTCCATGACTCCTTGTAAAATAATAAAATTCCATGACTTTTCCCATGTCATTCCATAATAGCTTTATACTCCAGGATTTTCTGGGATTTCTGGTACTACAGCTCACCTTTTCTTGACCCTGTTGTTCCCGGTCTGCTGTTGACCTCTGAACTCTGACCCCGGAGCCCATCCTCGGGGGTGTTGTTAGGAGGTACCTTGATTGGGGGGAGGGGCTGGCTGAGGGAAAGGGCGCCCTCGCTCAGAGCTCGGCTGTGACGGGAGCCGGCGCTGTTCGGGGTCTTGACGGCTAGGACGGCTGGGGAGGACCGGGAGCCTTCCGTGCCTGCAAGGAGACAAAAACAGGATCAATTTTGAGTTCTTCAAAACAATGATAATAATTTACTTAATATTGAAAACCCTATTTTTGGCCAGTTGCCACAGAAGAGTCTGCTTTTGACAGAATACATCACATTTTCTGACTGCCCACCTGTTGAGTTGGGTCTGCCTTGTCTGTTGATTTGACCAGGATGGGCCGAGGGCCGGTCTATACTCATGTAGGATCGTACGCTGGCATTGGATGCGTTGACTAACCGGTCGTTGCTGGGTGGAAACGGCTTCGTCAGGGCACTGAAACACGGACGGATATACAAAGAGGAAGCAGAAAATGAAAATTGTTACGTGAAGGTGTATTCCTGGTTGAGTGCAGGTTTGAATTTATGGGCCAAAACGGGCGGGTCAAGGTTCTAAGATGCAACAAATACTAAATCCTGAAGCACATTAAGCAATCTTGGCCCAATTTCATGGCTCTGCTAACCCAGTTAGTCTGCGCTTATGATCATCATTATGTGCTTATGGCTTAAGCGTAAATATGTTGGTTGAACCAGTAAGCGCAAAAGCTTTTGTTATGGGATGTAAATAAGCACAGATATATATTTTTTTCGCTTACAGTGAGCAAAAATTTGACATCACAAAAAATTCTGTGCGAAATTCGTATCGTGAAATTTGCCACGACGTCACAAATTCACATTCGCGTCCGTTTACATGCAGAGAATGGACCAGCCTTTATACAGTATCATTCCAAGTCTAAAAAGATTAATTATCTCTGTTAACTGAACATATCTACTATATAAAAAAAAAAAGATATCTTGAGGAAATTCCATTAAAAGTGTAGTCTTGAAACTCTCAAACTAGCTCAAGCTAGCCGTCGGACTGATTTAAAATTATTGACCAAATGAAGTCCTGCCCACCTGACAGTATTCTGACCAATCAGCATCCGGTTCACGTCCAGTTCTAAGATCCTGGGCGTGGTCACCATGGATAACCGATCCCTGGCCGTGTCCCCGGCCCCGCCCAGTGGGGCAAACGACGTGGACATGGCCCACATGGGCTGGGACTGGGGACCCACGAGGTGCACACTGGAGCCCTGGACAGGGACCTCGCTGGGCTGGTCCTGGGGGATGGGCTCGTTGGTAGCGCTGGCCTCCTGAAGTCAAGGAACAAGACCAGTCAATTGAAAATAATAATAATTATAAACAAATAAACCAGGAAGGGAAACTGACTAATGCGTACATACCTAATACATATGCGTAATTTAGCTAGAAACAGTGCGCATGAGGTGTGCTTGGAATTTTCTGGATAGCGCTGTCGATGTTCCCAAGACTCGATGTTCCCATGGATTTGATTCATCCTGTTGACAGCAACCTCTACCACCACAGTGGCTTTACCGCTCTTCCAAATTCAGACTTGGACCAAGACTAATAATTACTATGTAGTACAGTTTATACATTTTATGAAAAAAAATTAATGGATATAATGTTATGTGACACATGGCTCGTTTTTTTTTTTCATACCTGTGTTGGGGGTCTCATCAGAGCACTCTTGACTGGGTGTTGTGAGGCAGGGGTGGGTGCAGGCACCATGTTGAGCGGGGTACCGTCACGCAGCGGGGTGATGGGTTTCAGGTAGGGCTTGGGCCGGTAGTTGTCGCTGATCCGGCTCTGCTGGTAGTGTGGAATCTGGTTCCTGAAATTGGCCACATTCAGAAGAGATTATTGGACTATAGCAAAAAAGATTTTCGAAAAAACTAATACCGGACGGGGGAAACTGACTAGGTGCATACATACACACTTATTATGAAGTTCTACAAAGAAACTGACAGGGTTTGAACCTGTGACCTCTGGATTACCGTTCCGGTGTTCTACCAACTGAGCTATCCAACCCCATGTTGGCGGATTCCCAATTGTTCCTAATCTTTGTTCAAGGGCAACAGAAATAACCGCCACATGTTGTGGCACAGAACTCAAGAAAAATTCATTGTACCATGACAGAACTTCAGGTTGTGAGGTGTCAAATTTAAGGGCAGTATACTTAAAAAAAAAAAAAAATACCCAGATTTTCGTTGATTTATTTCATCCACTGCAATGAGCAAAGAACCCTCGATATTAACATTCACAAATACAAACTCAAACTCCTAAAGGCTTAGAACAGACATTCTACCAGCAAGCTTTGGCTTTTGGATTAAGCATTTATTTTCTATGATAAATAAATATGTGTGCTTAGCAGCTTAATAATATATGCTTAGTCATAACTTAGTCACTTCCATAGGCGCGTGTGTTATTGCAAGCCAAGTAATTTGAATGCGGCTTACCTTCCTTTCCATGACAGTATCGGCTTGATCATGAAGATGCCTGATTCTTCCTCTACTCTCTGTAACGCCTCCATCAACATGTGGGCTAGGTGGAGGCGCTCCGAGGATAAATTATCCATCTGCTCTCCCCAACGCTGAGCTCTCTACAAAAAGGAAAAAAAAGAAAAACATTAGCTTCAGGCATACAACTGCCATTTTAGAAAAAAACGAGGAAAATCCAAACCACACAAGACTTTGTACAGTGTTTTTCAATTTGTAATGGCATTCATGAGAAGTAAAAAACGAGGAAATCAGTGGATCCGAGGAAAAGTTGCATGCCTGTAGCTTTGAAAATATCTGTACCTGACAAACCAGATCCTAACTACAGTTGGGAGAATCTAACTACAGCCTGTCTCAAAAAAAATTGTACAATCAGAAAAAAAATTGGTTAAATATGAAATTTCAAAATAAGTCATTCTTACTTGGCATAATATTAAAGAACAAAGACTGGGCTTTCCAATAGTGTTTGTTTGATCTTATTTGCTTTTGTCAATTCAGAGATATAATCAATTTAGTGCAATACACCAAAATCGATTTTGTGCCACTTTTATGCATGGGCAGAGTTGTTTCGAGTACTGTGCCATGCTGTCTTGAAGCTCACACCCAGAAAGTGGCACAAACTCGATTTTTGTGTTCCGCAGTAAACTGGAGTTATCTCTGGATTGACAAAAGCAAATGAGATGAAACAAAAAGTATTGGAAAGCCTGGTCTTTTTTCTTTAATGTAATGCTCAAAACAACTTACTTATATTGAAATTTAATATTGAAAAAAAAATCGTTTTCGATTGTACCATTTTTTTTTTAGACAGGCTGTATAGTTGGGACTGTTCCAACTATAATTGGGCCATTGCTTTAGTTGGGCATAACAACAGCACTCAAGCGGCTATAAATACATGTATCAGTCATACTTTTACTGCATTATTTGCAAGATTGAATGTTTGACTGACCAGGCTCTGCAATGCCTCCATCCTCTCCAGTAACGCATAGACTTCCTCGTCTAATGAGTTGCTCTGTCTCACATTCTCTGAAAACAAATATATAAATGAAAAAATATAAGCATAGGAATCACTGAAAAATGAAAAAAAATGAAATAATAAATTGGAATTAAAAAAAAGATCTGGCTGTGGAGAAATTCAAAGCCACTAGGACATTTCCCGGAATGGAGGTAAGAAATCAATGTAAAATATCTTGCCTGGGGACACAAGCCTTATCTGCGCACTCCCACATGAAACAGCGACACAAAACATTAACCACTCTAGCAAATGTGCCCATCATCCCGAAACCGGGTCGAGAAAAGTAACTTTAATTTCTGAAGTAAGAAATGTTGGTTTGGTTTAGATGCTGTTCATACAGTCTCTTTGAAATGGGCAAAGGTTGTTGGCAGAAAACTGTGCACGGAGTAGCACAAAGAAGAAAGGGCCTTGAAAGACTAATGCTATTTTACCTTCAATCTCCTTCATATGCATATGATGCGTATATTTCTTGGCCAGGTGGACTAGACGTTTAGCTGGCAGGACAGTGTACTCATCCATGGCATGCACAACTTCACTATATCGCTGCTGCTCCAACTGTAAACAGATAACGAATCACTGTAAAATAGCTTGCCCGTGGACACAAGATTTTGAGCAACTTTGAGCAAATGATCCTATGTACCTTTCACGTGGCCACGATTGGTCCAAATGGAATGGGGTGGAGTTTAATGGGTCAGAATATTGCCCGCCTGTGTCTTACCTTGCGTGCGTTGACAGCTCTCTTCAGCGCCTTCTGGTTGCGTTCTGAGTCCGTCCTTGAGAAGATGACTGTTGGCTCTGTGTTCTGGCCGTAACCGCCGGACATGCCGGACACGGCTGAGAAGGGTTTTGTAGGGGAGCCTCCGAAGGCTGAGAGCTCGTGTTGAAGCTCTTGTATCGTGTCTTGCAAGTCCATCATCATAACAGCATTGTTGCTTTAGGAGGAAAATTAAAACAGGAAAGAATTGGGAAATTAAATGAACGCGAAATTTCAAGGCACATGTCTTTGGGGAAGCCTGCATTTGATTAAAATATCTATATTTTTTTTGCGCATGACAAAAGAAAAATTATGCAATGCAGAAGAAATCTTCAATGTTACAGGGAGAAGGTTGTTTTAAAACCTTATCTAATACAAAATTTTTGCTAAACCTCAAATGAAAGTATTTTCAAGTTGGAAAAGAATGTTCTTCATCAGTTTCGGAGAGTCAACCACACAATGACTCAAAGAATTATGTGTATTTTCCGGATGTCTTTTACATATGTGACAGTGAATGCATTTATTTTAGGAGGAATAGACCTATGCACATGATTTTAAAAATGAAAACTTTAAAGCTGTCTGAGTATTGTATTTCTTTTGCATGTAAATAGTTAAAAACAACATGGACAGGTTGTTAACAATCAGATGATGTGAACGGTTTACTTACTTTAGTTTATCCTCATAATCTTTCTTCTGCCGTTCAAGACTAAATTTCCTGTGAAAAAAAGAAGGAAAAGAAATAAAAAAAAGTGAGAAAAACACATTTGGAGTATCAAGACAAAATGTGACCCTGCTTCACACAACCAGTCACTTGGAGAAAATTTGAGAAATCTGAGATTTGGGGTTCATTGGAAAGGACATTGAGTAAGTTTTCCAATGATGTCATAGAATATGGCTATCGGACAAAATCAGACACAGTTATAGGTATTTTTAGTTCCAAATTCTTATGCCTCGGAAAGTTTTATAAATTTGAGAAATTTGTCGTAAAAGGTTCCAAAATAAACTCCTTAGGAAATTTATAAATTAACTTCGCTGAAAATGAAAAATATTCATCATTCTAGCTTCTAATGCCTACATCTGAATTTCGATAAGTTTTGCCTGTCCAGTGTATTATAGGCTGTATCTCAAAATATGACCGTGGGACTTCCAACTGGTGTTGTGCTGGAGGGTCACAAAATATTTATGTTTACAAAAGAAACGAAGGTATCTGCACCGTGCTTACATATTTTCATAGTTTTCTCTGAGTTCCCTGATTTCTGGATCCGTGACTGCCGTCATCTCGACGGTAGACGCTGGCTCCGTCATGAGCTTATCTTCAGTGGCTTCTTTCATCAGGCTGGCTGTCTTGGAGGCGTCGCCCTGGTTGACGATCAAGGAGGATACTGCAGGCTCCTGGAGAGAGAGGGGGGGGGGAGTGGGGAGTTGAAGAGTGTGGATCGTTAAAGCTACATGTGCTAGACAGCCTTTCAAACTATCCACAAAATCTCTGTGTTGGACCTGGGTCCTATATGGAGATTTCAGGAACCCGTTTCACACCAGCAACACGTTGCCAAAAGACCGAAAGTTCCCTGAGCAAAATATTTCAGCTTTTGTGAAAATCATGGAAACCTCGGAAACGTTTCTACTTACCATGTCATTGTACAAGTAGCTGTTGATGATGCTAGCCGCCTCCTTCAGAACTGAAATGCAGACATTGACAAAAATCAATTAAACTAATGATACAAATAACAAAACTGCTATACCTGTGTGGCAATGAGCTGCATTACTGAGCTCGTTTATAAAGTCTGCATACAGCAAGCCAATATTTAAAACAAGAATGGTAATTTTTATTTAATTGCAATGATGAATGCCTGGGACTTATATAAGCTCCGAATATATTTGCTATTAAGGAATAACAGTTTACCGGCTAAAGTTTCATCTAATGTTAATTGCTTATGACTGGTTTTGCTTAGAACATAAACATGTTAAGCAATTTTGTCCTGCATCGAAGTTCCATAAACTTGGACTCTGGTTCAATTAACCTACTTGCTCAAAGTGTCAACTACAAACAACAAGGCAAACCTAGTAAAGTAAATCCTATTCAGTAGATTCAGAGTGGCTATTCACTAGAAGTCTTTCCATGCATCTGGTCTAAGTAAGTGGCTGGATATAGCCCACTCGTTGGCGTTACAAGGTAATCCTACACGATAGCACTGCCCAGATTTCTTCAACAGCCTACAACTAGTTTAAGTCAGAAGTGACTGAGGCAGACAGTCAGTAATTCAGTCAGTTAGTCAGTCGGGAACAAAGAGGACTTTAGGCTAGCCCTCTGTGATGAAACAAAGAAAATCATGAACAAATACATCTATAAATTCAAAGTACACTATTAGAGTAATGTAAAAGGATTCCTGACTCACAGCTCATCACATTGGTGGTCATCTCGTACACCTGGTTCTGGACATTCAAGTTGCGGTCAAAGGTCAACTGACCGATGTCGGCAAGCCTCTCTGCAGCTGACATTAATTCTGTAGGAACATGGAAACAGGACTTGTCAACTCTTTGACATGAAATAAAGTACAAAGTCTGTCACAAGCCAATATGGCCCATCAGGCTGGTATTTATCTTTCACGACTTGACAAAATTTCAAATAAATGCTCTTAATGTTTGTCTAGCATTCCTTACATTGCAATGTTATAATAATAATACCGAAGTCTTATATAGCGCATGTATCTACCAACAATTAGGTACTCAAGGCGCTGGAAATTATGTCTATTACTAGAGACAGGTAAATGAAGTACATGGGAAATATGAGAACCATTATGTAGCACCTTTATAATGGTTTACAAGGTGCTGCGGCGCATTAAGCAGCCACTGCCAGAAAACACCGGGGCAAACCCCTTCTCTTAGCGATAAGTGTTACTGGGTTCTTTAACGTGCATTACACAACACACGAGACCTACGGCTTCACGTCCCATCCGAAGGACGAAGCAATAATGGTAAAGCGCCTTGCTTAAGAGCACAAGCACCATGTTCCCACGGTCAGGATTCGAACCCATGCACCACGGCACACGAGTCGAACACCATAACCATTGGACCACAGCACCCCAGTTATCAATATAAAAAGACAATATAAAAAGACAATTCAAACTGTGCTTTATTCTGTGCACTGCCCATTTCCATCTTAACACTATAAGGAATATTTTGGTAAATTTCACACAGGAACAACGGGACTTGTAATCAACTTTTCACATCACTTTTTTAAAATTTGGTTTGCTACATCTTCAGAGTTGCAGTCAATTCATCTCAAGTCACTCATAAGTAATCCTGAACAAGGCATTCATGTGTCACTGTTCATCCCCTGTTACTAGTGACCCGACATGTCATGGCATTATGTCTTGTGATGGCAAGCTCGATGGTCGAGTGGTAAGATGTCAGCACTAGTAAGCAGGAGGTCTTGATTCGAGTCCCACCCGAGTTGTTTGTAATTTCTTTCTCACAATCACTTGGGACAACACCGAGTATACAATGTTCATAAAATATGTCGGTGAAGGGCAAAACCCAATATTGAATTATGATTTGTCTTGTGATGGTTTTCAGTACACCCTTCATATACCAATCTGAACACGCTATCACTATACAGTGGAAGGCCCCTTCAATGGTGAAAGCACTGCGCATGCTATTTGCAAAGCAATTGCCCCATGACAGAATATCTGGACAATAGCTAGCACAATGCTTTCGCCATTGAAGGGGGCCACCGTGATAGAAGTGACAAGGTGTCCAGATTGGTCTATTCTAAGACACTATGCTATAGACACACACGAGGCCCTCTTCAATGGCGAAAGCCTTGTGCAAGCTATTGTATAAAGCTTCTGCCTCAGGATGACTTCTGAACAATAGCTAGCACAATGCTTTTGCCATTGAAGGGGGCTTCCATGACAGTACAGTTGACAGCGTGTCTGGAGTTGGGCAGTACCTTTATCTCGGAGTACGGTGATGAGAGAGTCTTTGAAGTCCATGACAATCTGATAGGCACGGAGGTAATCCTGCACCACAGGATGATCAGCTATAGACTCAACGGACAGCCTGGGAAAGAGAGAGGACACAGTAGGAATGGATTATCACTCACATACATGAATTATCATCAGGATTAATAGTTGTTTCTGCAGTAGTAGCTAAAGAGAAGTTTGTTATTTATAGTTTGCCAGCTTGTAGTGCAGTATATTTTAAGAGATGTTTAAAGATAAACCATGTGAAGTGACTACTTTTGAAAAAGAGGCGGTTCTGAAAAGAATCAGATTTCACTGTAATTGTTGACTTGAGTTAAGATCATTATTTCTCGGTGCAAACTTCTCGAGTTGTTCTCCCCATCCACCATATTTTCATGTATATTTGATTAGAATCCTCATTCCAATAGACCTGATGTGTTAAAGCGTAAGGTCCTTACTGGGCAATGGTTTTGTTTCGCTAGGATGTCACGAATAAACCTTTGTTCATTCATTGTTAGTCAATTTTGAAGAACCCCTAGTTTCATTACTAAAAAAAACAATCCAGGTGATCTTACTTTGATGTTTTGCTGGAGATAGAGAAGGCAACAGGCGACGTAGCTGTGTCCATTTTGTCAACTGAACCAATCAAAGTAAAAAAAGTCCATTATTTGAAGACAATCCTGCAGGTTTCAGAGTCCTGAAAGAAACTGATTATGGTGCCTCACTACAAACCAAGACGTGTTATAACTTCATCAGGCATCTTTGCTAGAAACTTTGAATCCTCCAAATCCTTCCACTGTTCTTTGTATGAATTTCTGGAGGGTCATCAGGATGTGTGTAATAAAATAGAGGCCCAGCTTTTCCTTTTTTAATCTGCAAAAAACTCCTAGAGGAGGATTCCTAGAGGAGTTTGGAGGATCTCGGAAGGTAAGAGTTCATTAATAATACACTCTAAGACAAAATAACGCTAAACACAGTGCTTAACACAATTAATCAGGGTAGAATCGCGTTGATGCAGCTTGTGAAAACATTGTCCAATTATATGATATACAATTGGACGCGGAACGGGCAAAATTTGAGACAAACAAAACTTTACGTACACAAATTCCATAGGGTTGTCTAAGGGGTCTGGCTAACTCGCAAACGACGATAGGTCAATTGATGACAAGTGTGCAAATTTTTGTTGTTGATAAATCTCAAATGCTGGTTCTAAAAAGATGGTTATATTCATGTTATGTTTTACGTCAAATTAATGCGCATTGTCATCACTGTTCTGCAAGAGAAACAAAACCAACTGATGAGTGTCTGACGTTTAGCGATCTAAGAAGGAAAAACATTGCAAGTGTTTGACGCGGTTGTCAAAATCAGGCATATGTGGGCTACAATTTTAACAAACCAGACAGCTTCTATACTTTTGCTACATAATACAGAATGAGATTTGTTGATGAGTATCAGATTTTTAAACCACTTTTGTCACAGGCAATCATTAACATAGCACCATTTTCCAAAATAAAAAGTCTCTTTACATGCTAAAAAAAGACCTTACAAATGAAATGTTGTCATCCAAAAACATTCTCATAAAATTGTGTAGAGAACTGGCATGATGAATTTCCTCAAATATTAAAATGAATTACAAGGAGAAGCCCACTTTCACCTGATTTTGACATAAAACCTCACAGATATGTGTAAAAATTGTGAAGAACGTTTCAACTTTTTTTCCAAAGTTAAATTTCCTGTAAGAAAAAAAATCAATGTCATTAAGTGAGTGCGTCACACCAAGTCACTGTGCCATCATCACTCTTCACTCCCATCATACCATGCAGGAACTCTCTAGCCCTACTGGCCGGCACAGAAACCAAGACCGTGGCCTCATCCTCCATCACCTCCCGTCCCTCGTCTTCGTCTTCGTGCATGGATGTCACGCCGGACTCGTTGGACAACGAGGGCGCTATGCTGTGAAACTGCAGCGAGCTGCGCTCGCGGTAATAGCTCATGGAGCTGCGGTGCTTTGAGGCTGCTCCAGAAAGGTAAGCAATTTGTGGGGAAATGCAGAATGTACAAGTTTGCATGTAATGGAGGTAAATTATGATTTTTATGAAACCCCAGTTTTGTCTGTAACTTCAGCTGGAGGTAATATTACATGTAGGTCCCTGATTTGGGGGAATTCTGGCACAAAATCTGGAAATTCTGGCTCAAAATCTTCACACTTATTTTTGTTAAAGTTGCTATCCCTGTGATTCTTCAAATTTTTCTCCACACAACCTTTTCATTTGTACACATTTTGGCATCTGCGACCCTCTACAAAAAGGCTGTCATTTTGGGCTTTATTTGTGTCTGAATTATTTTTGGGCGGCATCAAAACTAATTATTAAACTGCTTATTAAAGTCAATATTCTAAATGTATAACTAAATATGGGAGGACAATATTTGATGTTTTATTCAAAAGTTAATAACTTTTCATATTGCAAAAAAGAAGAAGAGCTATTTCAAAAATAGATTTACATTTTATGGGGTGAAACTCAAAAGTTACATGGGGAGAGATAGCAATGGAAAAAATTCCCAAAAGTCCTTATACCACCAAAAACTGCCAAGCAATGCCCCAGCAGGTAATAAGAACACCAGGGAATACTTCTACTGAATAGTGTTTAAATGGTGCTAAATGTTCAACATCAAGAAGGTAAATTGTCATCAAGTCATCTTTTTATCAATTTAAAAAACAGGCGTAAAAGTTTCTCACCCTCATCAGGAAATGGAATATCCCCATTTGGAGTGGTCAGATTGCTCCTCGGTCTTATACCCTGTCTCTCGCTCTTGGCACTCAATAGGGAACCATGCATGGAGGTGGCCCGGGACCGTCTCACCACAATCTCCGCTTTCTTCTGCTCCAGCTGGGCGCGATACTTCTCGTACAGTGAACGCTGACTTGCGGAGGATTGAGGGCGCTCTTCATCATCCTCGCCTTCATCGGACTATCGGGGGGAGACGGGACGAAAGACGTGCATTAGAGAAATCAAAGAAATGGTGTATGTTTCTTGTGGTCAATGATTTTATTAGTGTAGTCAGTCAGAGTTTTAGATCTCATGTCGCATCAGTCAAATTTCACAACTTGATTCGGGGCAGTTTTCTCTTTTTCTTTTTTCATTGATAAAAGAGCCAAGCGATTATCTCCTACATGTGAGTTTAAGATTGGGGCCCAATTTCACGGCTCTGCTAACCGCAGAATTCCGTGCTTACGATCACCATTCCGTGATAACAGCGCTAGCAGACAAAATTCTGCACTAACCCTGTAAGCACAGAATCCTCTGTAACCGGTTGTACGCAATGCACATAAGCCAAAATTCCTCGCTCACACGTTAAAAATGCTTACCGTAAGTGCGGAATTTGCTGCTACCGTAAGCAGGGATGTTTCGCTAACGGTAAGCAGAGCCTTGACATTGGGCCTGGGTTGCTGCCACAATCGTCAATAAATGCAATATTATATTGAAATTTGTTAGAACAATTAACAACAGATTAACCAAGGGACACATAAATTATAAAGTTTTGTTGGTTTTTTTACCAAATTGATTCCAGTGATCCAGTGCATGGATTGATAAATGTAACACTGATATATGAAAACATCCCCTTTTGTCAAAATGTTGTCTTCAAACGTGTTGTCTCCTTTGGAACATGTGCAAGTGATTCGTGATAGTTGTGGATCCTCATAATGTGAAGGTGGTCGGGTGAAAATATCAAAAGTGTCCGAAAATTTGAGTGTTGGTGGGTGTGACTGAAACTTTTGAAAGTTGTGTAAAAAAAAAAAAAAATTAATAAATAAATAATAACAATAAAACAATATAACAAATAAAAATACCACAAACAGATACATTGCAACCCACCACAAAAACCACCACATCTGAACTTGAGTTACTGAGGAACAATGTTAGTTAACTCCATAAGCATGAGGGTGAAACAAAGACACCCCCCCCCCCCAAAAAAAAATATACAAAACGATCGTTGAGATTCTTTCACTGCAAGCAATTGGTATATTTCTCATTCTCCTTAAATCTCCATTTTGGAGAATAGCACCTTGATCCTACAGTTATTTAATAAAAGCATTAAAAAAATATGTTCATGTTATTGAACAATTATGTGTTCAGTATAAGCATGCATAATCTGAGAAAGTTAGATACCATCAACCCCAACACCATTAATAAATATTTCTGTTAGGAAAAAGTGTTTGTAAATTTGTTACATACTGGTTAATTTTATGAGTAATAAAAATAAATAAAGATGTTGTCAGGGTAGGGCAAAACACCCAAACTCAGCATTCTCAATCTGTAATGCAATAACAATTGTTAGCAACATTAACATTCCTGCAAGCTGTGCTGTAAGACGTCAAAGCAAAAAAACGGAGCCTGAAAATTGTCACAAAGTTGTTCAATACCTATGCATCGATTTACAAAGCAAATTAATTTCAATGACATTAATATTCTGTATTCCACTGGATAAGGAAATGCACATGCAATGTATAATTTCATTTATGTAAGGCCTCGTTTCCATATTGACGTAGGAAACGCAAAGGGAAACGCAAACAGGACCCAAACTGCAACGCAGACAATGGAAACATTTCATCCGGAAGTGTCACCGACAACTCAGACAGACGCAAACAGGCCTGGCAGATGATCAGCAAAGTTGAACCCGGTTCAACTTTGCCGACAGTTCCGCGAACTGTCTGTGGAGACTGTGTAGTCTGCGTAAGCTGAACGTCGATATGGAAACCAGGCTTTAGTCACGAGTTGTTGATTTTAAGACAAAAATCAGCAGCCACTTTTTACTCAACAATTTAATTTTGTACTCCCTTTACAGGTTTTTAATGAGTTATATTAACTCACAAATGTATGTAAATTGTATTTACAGAAAGCACCCATCACCATGCAAGCAGCAAGCAATCTTGGTTACATGCGGGCTGCAGACCAGGCCAATCATAAACTGTCCTTACCAGAGTCAGATCAGCCAAGACGCGGCTCAAATGATTGGCCAGCGAGCGCTCGCTGAACGCGTCCGACTCCACGTCGGCATCAAAGTCCGACTCCCTACTGAGGGGCGGGGCACTCTGTCGCGAATCCTCCCTCTCCTCGACTCCTTCTTCAGGGGAAGTGGCGTGGGTTTGACGAGGGATGGATTTGGGGAGAGGGGAGGGTTTTGGGTCTGGTACCCAGGGATCTGTTTGGGTCGTGGTATCAACAAGATCCCTCTGCTGTTGGGGAGAGGTGCAATGGTTAGTTACCTGTTGGAGGAAAGTCCGTCAACCCATTGGAATTGGGTTTCAATATTTCTGGTTTGTAAAATGAACCTCGCGGTTTACATCCAAATATACACAATCCTTTTGACATTTTGAGCAGTAATTTTGAAATTATAGTTTCAAAATGAACAAAAAAATTTGTTTTGAAATATGTTTGAAACCTTTGAAAATATTTTTTTTTTCATTCTCCAATCAAGATAATTAAGGTAGGCCCATGGTTGAGAACAAATCATGAATTGTATACATTACTCGTTCAACAAAATCTAAGAAGGAGAAAAAATGCATGCATATGAACACAACAAATTCTAACGAGGGAGTTTAGGCAAAAATGAGCTAAGATTGCGTGTAGAACTGAGATTCATTTTACAACGCTTAATACACAATATACAATATTTGGCGATTTCTTGATGTTAGCAGCACACATGGAGGTTGTTGAGTGAGTTAGCTGTTTGACTTTCACTGATGTGATCTGCCGAGACAAATGAATTAAATCTGTCAACCACATGACCATGCGTTAAGCTTCCAGATTTGAATAAATATACAATTAGGCTGCAATGGTTTCCATGACTATGGTTGCTATGGTTAAATTTCTCCAACCTTTAAAAAAAAAGAAGTGTTAGAAAGCAATTAATGTCATCTTTTCTCCTGTCCAACAAATACAAATTAAACTTATTAATACACACATGATGTACATTTAAAAGCCGTCCATGAAATAATGATTATTGATGATTATTAAGAGCAATATCAATAAATTATGCATTTGAATGAATTGGATGAATTCTGTTGTTAGCTTCAGCTCATATGTTGGTTAAGTACATGTAAATCTGTTACAGAAACAATGAACAAGGATTAAGCATCCCATTTGCAACATTAAACATTTATGATTATGTTAATGAAACCAGATATTCTCCTTTTTAATATACAAATTAAAATGCTTGATTTTACGTTGGTGCACAGTGCCATGTGCATCTGGAAAAATCTCAAATTTAAGAAATAAAGTCTTAATCAGTTATTGCTGAATCGCAGAACTTGATCAAAGTTGTGATAAATATAGTTGAGGACAACTAGAGATCATTCTGAGCATGTTATTATTGTGTAAACTCACGGAGCCCCCCATCAGTGGCGAAGGCATTGTGCCAGTTATTGTTCAGTTGCTGCAACTGCCCCACGACTGATTATCTGGACAATAGCTAGCACAATGCTTTCACCATTGAAGGGGGCCTCGGTGACGCGAGTGTATGGCTGTTTGGAAAGGTCTATAAGTGAAGTGTGCAGTATCGAGTTGTATTGGGATACCTCTGTGCTTGTAGTCTGCAGTGTGATGGTTAATAGCAGTGACTGTGTCCATAAGCAAAGTAGTTTACCTCAATGCTTATCTCAATTATGGATTTAATAGGTGCCTGCTTGTGTAAAAAGAATTCTTGTCCTTCACTGTGCCAAAATGAATGCATATGTTGGCTTCATTATGAGAATTGTAAAACTTCCTTCATAAAAATTCCACTTGCTCCAATTTTACGTTGTCAGTTCAGTTAGTGTGTGGGGGAGGGGGGTACTGAGAAAGTGGATTACAAGTTCTGCACTTTATTTTCAATTGATTGGAATTTTCAAAGTTAATTTGAGGCTTGGGTTTATGTTAGGAAGCATGTGGTATTAGTAAGCCTGCGGTAATTCACTTCAGGATATTTTATTTTGGTTTTTCCTTTGGTATATGAAGCAGTAGCATACATACATGTTGGCTGTCTTCTTTATGGGACTGACGAGCACAAACAACTAAATAATTTGCATTGTAAGGTGATACGTTGGCCTTAAATTGTGCTTTCTGGAAAGAAGCAACAACACCTGAATCTTGGTTTCATCCCATGTTAAGTTTAAAGGCAAGAAAAGGGGTTTAAATGCAAGAAAAACCACTGATTTTTTTCAATTTTTGAAAATTAGTCGAGGTCCCTTGGTAGTACCAACAGCTTTCTCCTTTTTTTTTAAATTTATTTTTGCGCAAGTGAAGCTAAACACAAATTTGGTGTAGTGTGAAATTTGGACTCTATGAAAAACAGACTCATTGGTTGTACTGCACATGCCTCGGTGTACATAGAACAAGGACAAAATACGTGTGAGGGTTAGAGTCCATATAAGGTGAAAAGAGACCAGATTTCATAGGAGTCCAAATTTCATATGGCACCGGCACAGATTGATTGTACACACAAGGGGTATCCCAATAATGGCAGAACAATTTTGCATGCTACAGCATATCCAGAATAACTCTCAAAAGGTATTAATATGTACAACAGCTTCTGCCATAACTGAGGTGGCCTATGACTGAACAGTCATTCTGTGATCGGAGTAGTCTTTACGTTAAAAATATCTTGACAGCAGCCCCTGCTGATGATACAAAATATAGCATTAATACAGGGTTAATAAAGCATTGCCTTTAGGCAGTGATTGCGATGAGTAGTGTGTTACTGTTAGTGCTCCGCTCTTGAGGCTAAACCCTCTCCGTGTTTTACCTCCTCTACTTTTGGGTCTGCGTCGAGATCTGCGGGAGGCTTTTCGACTTTCTGACGACTCTTAAGACGACCGGTGGACATCAAGCGGTCAACTAAATCTTGGTGCTGAGAAGGAAGGGAGGAAAAGTGTGCAGGAGGAAAAAGTAAAATCGTAGAACCTTAAAATTATTGTGAATTATAACTTACAACAAATATCCCCTTCAGAATAACATAGAAAAATGAGAAAAATCCAGACATAAATGTCACAAATATTTCAAAGTGTCACCGTGAGGTATATGTTGAATTACAAACCACTGCGGGCAAAACACATTAGTTATTCCAGTCTGTTATATCTATAACACAACACTGTAAGAAAACAGCTGTTAAAAAAATTTCCCCTCCGAAATATTTTTGCAACAAATTGGGAAGTTCAATGTCACAAGAACAATTTGTAGGCAGCACTAAAATGTTTCCCAAATCTATCTGTAAAAGTTCTATGAACTCAGTGGTTTTATGAAATATGGTCACAATGTCCTTCATGTCGTGAAATCCAAATGAACGGTTGTATGCAACAAAAATGTTCCCACAAATGTCACAAAAAGCGTGAATTAGTCAAACAAATTGAGAACAACATAAGCCAATATGAGTAACAAAAGACTTAGGCGTACAGACCAAAAAAGTTACTGTTGTGTTTCCGGTAACATTTCCCTCAAAAAGGATGGGCATGTATGTGCATGATACACATATTGGGGGACAACTAGACAAGTAGACCTACTTGTAAGAAGCTACTTTAATGCATACTGTAGTACTCCAGACTTTTATCTGGGGCATTTTTCACTTGCATACATACATATTAATAAAATTTTAAAAGAAAATAATGATCAACTAATTAAAAATGAATAAATCAATAAAAAATTAACTGTTAACCATATGTACACCCAGATTTTTAGGGTTGGTCGGGTTACCAGAAACACAGCATTATTTATTTCGGCCAAATGACGAACAAAAAAAATAATGTAATGTTGACGTTTCAATAAGCACACAACAATTTTTAAGCAACCAAAACATCAAGCGATCAAAACATCACAGCATAACTGTTCAATAGACAAGCGTGTGTGTGTGTGAATGTGCATGACTGATGCAGAAGCGACACAATCCCACCCCACGTGGTTCAATCGACACGCTTGTCTTACCCCGCGCGACTCCACGCGAGAAGTCTGCTGGGAGCGTCCCACTTGGACGACCGGGGTGGTCTGCATTTCGTGATCGATGGCCTCGGAGGCCAGGCCCTCGTCGCTTGTGGGAGGGGCCTCTTTCTGAGGCTCCTCCCCTTCTTGGACATGCTGCTGTTGTGGCTCCTGTTGGGAATTTGTCGCAAATGTTTCCTTCAACTCTACTTAGTTTGTTAGGTGACGACTTTGACTTACAAATGTTTGCATAATCTAGTTGAAACAGTTATTTACTTAAGTAAATAGTAAAATTTAGTAAAGATTTATGTAAACTTCAAACCTTTCTTTTTTAATTCAACTTAAACTAATTTTCCAAAACTAATCACTTTGATGCAACCTACAGTGAATATTACAACCTACACTTAAAAACTTGTGACATAACCTCGGAGACATAATTAAGTCAATCACAGTTCACTCACGAGTCAGTTACAAGTCCTCATAACGGCGCAAGTGCAAAGTGAAAAACGAGGATATCAGCTGATCTGAGGAAAATTTACTTTTCTGAGTAACAAGAAATGAATATAAAGTGAATTAATGTCTTTGTCACCTTTCATTTGAAAAGCTTGTAACTTGTTTGAGAATGAAGCACTTGTGATTGACTTGTGATGCTTAGACCAGAAACCTAAGGATTGTACAATTCTTTCTGTCATACAGGGCGAGTAAAAAAAATGAAACTCAAATGTTGGGACCATTGTTTTTGGTAAGTTCTGCATGTAGCATTTTCAAAATGAAGGATATGAAAGCCCAATTCTTAAGCTTTCTTTTAGTACAAAAATCATTCAAATCACTCATGTACTTTTCAAGTTTTTAAACACAACCACCGTTTTAAGGTTCTGTCCACGGATCACAAAAAAGATCAGTGTTCTTTCAACAAAACGAAAAGAAATCACATAAGGATGTGTGTGAATTGTTTTCGTTTTGCTGAAAGAACGCACACCTTTTTTGTGATCCGTGGACAGAACCTTAAAACGGTGTTTGTGTTTAAAATTTCGTAACTTGAAAAGTACACGAGTGATTTGAATGATTCTTGTACTAAAAGAAAGCTTATGAATCGGGCTTTCATATCCTAGATTTGAAAGTGCTACATGCAGAACTTCAATAAAACAGTAGTCCTGACGTTGGGGTTTCGTTTTTTTTACTCACCCTGTACTGTACAAATCTTTCTGTCATACTGTGTACAAAAGCAGAATGTTTCTGTCTAACCTGGTTACTTGAGTCTCCCGACGAGCCGTTCTGTGTAGCTCCTTTCGACGTCTCCTTGTTGTCTACTGACAGGATGGACTTCTCTGGCCCAAAGTACTTGAGACGTTGCTCTGGTGTCAGTTTCTTCAGTTTCTTTTCTTTGTTTTCTTCCTCTTTAATTTTTGCCTGGATAGAAAAATGTGGATGCTGCACATTACTTTGTTTCAAAAATAAACAAAGTGCTGGATTCAGGAAACCAGACCACAAGGTGATACATCATTGTTACCCCTGATCATCATGCCAATGCAACATTCCTGAGACCATCTCAGTTCCCTTGGGAGTGCAGAGCTTGATTCTACCATTCTAAAAAATCGTATCTCTCCCCTCACAAGTTCCAATGCTACTCCTGGTTGGGGAGAAGCAAAAGACCGATCCAATGAGTCCGTATTTCATAGTCCAAAATTTTACACTATACTGCGTCACAGTAGTGGAAGGCGAGGAAAGCGCTGCTGCCTGCAACCTGATACCCATACAGCTCTAGACAAGAGATTCAGCTTGATTCAGGTCCCAAATCTCTAGTTGTAAACTCTAGTTCCTACCATTTGGCCTTGCTCCTTGACGAAGTTCTCCAGCTGAGCCATGGCTTCGTCCGCCTCTTTCTCCGCCTCCGTCTTCTGTTTCTCCACCAGCTCAACTTTCTGGACCAACAGATGTTTCTCCTTCAAGTGGAAAAGAGAAAACAGTTTTGCTTTTGTAAAATGAGGAAAATCTTGAATGAAAGCATACAATATGAGAAGACATGCCCCAACTACACCTATTCTCTTTTGTGGGAGCAGCAGGAGATTGTATGCATTAACAAAACGAGCTTGTGTGTAGTCGCAATCTGTAACCAAGTAACTTGACTTGACGTGGCCTGACTTACCGCTTCCAATCGCTCCTCGGTCTCCTTGACCTGTGACGTCAGCAGGGTCACCTTCTTGTGGCTGTCTTCCTTGACCGTCTTGACCTCGTTCTGAAGGCCTTGAACGACGAACAGCGCCTACAGGGCCAAAGCATGATAACAAACAATTAGCCATAGGAGTTGGAAAGAATTCATTAATCTACAAATAGAAGTCGAAGATAAAAAACAGTGGTGTAAATAGGGTGCAATTTACAAGGGGGGGGGCACATAGGGGGCACATTTTCTGGAGGGGAGGGGGAACTCAATGGGTTTATGGCAAAAACTCAATTCTGAGGGGGGGGGGGCACAATAAGGGAACAGGCCTAAAGCAAATGGCTAGTACCCCTCCACTGCCCCCACCCACTTTTTCATCAATGACCTATCTTTTCATTTCCCTATACTCTTGCTATCTCCTTCCTACCTCTTTCCTATACTGCTTGAAGGCAGACGGCAGTTTCTCCTGCGGCACCTTGTCCCATCTCGCCTCATCCTCGATGGGAATCTTCTCCTCGAATGGCACCTCATGGACCGGTTCCAGGTTGGACTTGTTGCGAGGGCCTCGCTTCGGGGTGGCCACGTTGGAGGCAGAGTCTGTGCTATCCGACGACAGGGCTGAGACATGGTCGGGAGGGGGGGGGGGATAAAATAAGATTAAATGTTAAAAAATGGGTCAATATTTAACACCTTCATGCATGAAATAAAATGTCAAAACAAGACTTTATTAAATGTCTGGAATGATACACTTCAATATGTTGATAACATCGGAAATAAAAATAACTGCTGCAAACTGTTTGTACTGATTGTTGCTGGAGTCACATGAATAAGAATATATAAACCATTTTCAGTCAGAAGGTCTACATCTCAACTTGAGCAGAATCTTTGAGAAAGGCAGGAACTTTACATTTCAGAAAGATGCCACTAGAATCAATTATGTTATATCCTCTTCGCCTTGGATTCCAGACAAAGTTGGCAGTAATAAACTCTTTTTTTTTCTTTGGTCGGGAGCCCAAATAGGGTTGGCTGGAAATGAGAACCAAAGAAATAAAAAGGGATGCCCTAACCCAAAATACGTAAATTAAATGGGGTGCTGTGGACCAATGGTTACGGTGTTCGACTCGTGTGCCGTGGTACATGGTTTTGAATCCCGACAGGGAACATGGTGCTTGTGCACTTGGGCAAGGCACTTTACTATGATTGCCTCTCTCCACCCAGGTGTAGTAAATGAGTACCTGGTAGGAAGAAATCCCTTCAATGCTGGAGCGCTGTAATGGCAGCTGTGCTAAAGCCAGGGTAATATTGGAGCACCAGGAGCGTCACTTCGTGACGGACATGAGTGCTATACAAGAAGCCACTACTATTATTATTATTAAATCTCCTCATCCCATAAAAACAAATCATCTTGAGTGAGTTGTTACTTTACTCACCTTTTGTATTGTTTGGTTTGGATGTCTTGGGTGTCTCAGCTTTCTGTATTTTGGGAGTTTCTGGAGTCTGCTTAGGGGCTGGTTTGGGTGTTTCTTGGGTTGGGGTAGCTGCCGATGTACTGCTCTGCCGACTTAAGGACTCCTTCTCAACCAAAAAAAAAAGAAGAAACATAATAGGTTACAAAAACTACAAATGCCAAGGTACATAACTATTGTTTTTGTTGCTCTCTGGAATGTGATGTAAAGCAAATAATTTCCTGGGATAAGGATCCCACCATGTACGTATGTAACACATATTTTGTTATTTTGGATGTGTGGTTCATTTTCAGAGGTCTGCCAAGATTGCAAAAAAATTGCAATCCAATATGAACAGAAATTGCTTACCAGTTTCTTCTGTACATTAGATACCTGTCGGCTTGGTGGCACGCTCTGAGAAACAAAAGATAGCAAAAACAAGGTAAAAAAGTCATTAACAATATCTTCTTTCACACACAATATTGTGTTTAATAGCTTTGGCTTTTAATATATTTTTTTTTCCAGTGGAATAAATTCATCCTTCATTTTGGCACATTGCATTAAGTTTTGACAATTTATTTTTTAAAAACTGTGACAAAAATCAGAATTTAACAAAGTTGGTAGGAGAATTCATAAAATAGACATTGAAATTGAAAGTGTCTTTTCTTCATTTCGTACAATTAAAAAATGCACGTTCAAAGGTGTCCTTTGTGTTTCCCTTGAAAATTAATATAAATCAAAGTGCATGTGCGATTCATGCAAGCTTGCAAAATAAAGCAAATTAAACGCAACTGCAAAATCCTGATCAAGTTCAAGTAGTATTTTAATTAAATAAAAAACAAAGCACAGCAATATGTGGTGGATAGTCATTCATAGCAATATTCAGTTATCAGTGTATTAAATGCTGAAGCAGAAATCAAATACTGGGACCATGGATTCCATGGCGAGGCTGGTGGGGAACATATTTTTTTTGCTGGCCCCAGAGGGCCAGCTTTCGGTACCTGACTGACTAATTGATTCACTGACTGTCACTTGCAACTCAGCCTCAATGTTGGCTTGTGAAGGGAGCCGGGCAGTGCTATTGTATAGGATTACCCGGTAATTTGGTCAATCTGGCCTATTGTGCAGACCACTGTTTTAAAAGACTACAAGTGAAAAGCCATTTTAAATCAATTGAATATAATTTTGTGTGATCTGGTACCAGCTTCGATTGCTTTGTCTTTTTTTATGGGGGGGGGGTTGTGGTTTTTCGCTGATTCCTTATCAGATTTTTGGCTAGACATTACATGCTCAATCCTTAATGATGAATTCATTCACAGACTGTGAAAGAGTATAAACTGTGGATGATATATGTTGGCACCCATGAAAGCAATCACTTTTAAAAGTTCAGAGACATGGATGGTTAACACTCAACATTTCAATCAGCAATTTCATTCTGATCATCTTCACCTAGGACTCTCAAGTAAAAAAAAACAAAAAAATGAGGAGTGCGAACTCAATGACAAAGCACTTGGTGTAAACTCTGAGTTCATTTTTGCCAAGACTTGACCAAAAAATGAAGATGTTGAAAGAGAATTGGTAACGGCCAAAATCTTGATATTCTCTTTTCTCTCTTCAAACTGAACTTCCTTTGTTCTACTTGTCATATTTTAAGTGATTACGATGTATTTTGAAATGAAATGAAATCTTGAAAAAAAAACACCCGAATTTACACTTAAAATCTATTCAGCACTTAACATGTATTTTGTTGAAATACATGTAAACTAAGTGGGTCAGATAACAGCCAGTTCATGATTGTCTTTATGACCTCTGATGCGAGGTCAAGATAATTTAAATAATTTACATGCGCACACATGCAGCATCCACATGCACACCAGTGAATGCAGCCAATCAGGGCATCATGAAGGCAAAGAGCAACCAATGAAATCTCAGAAGCTATGAGGGAGTTCCCATACTCATACTATTAGGTAAGGCCTCCAGTTTACATTGTATTAAAACTGTCATGAAGCGCTGAGGAAAATCTGCATATTTTCAAAAGGCTTGAATGTTACATTTCTCATCACCTTCTAAAACCTAAATTTGGTTCTTTTCTTAATACTGGGCAAACAGTCAACATTTTCATGACAAAAATTAAACTGCAATGGTGTAAATGTAATAGCAAAACAGCCAGAAATCATTTCCACATCAAAATCAAGTAAATAAAAAAAACAATTAAAAGCACGTTTTCATTAGGTGTGCATCAAGTTACTGGTTATGGTGATTTGATGTATTTCATTCAGTGTCAAACCGATGGTGAAGACATGGGTATCACTCCAAATCAGCAAACAGATGTGACTTTTTTTCATCAAAGCGAGACTCACGATAGACTCCGTATCTGATAGTGATGATACTCCCCTGGAGGGCGCAGGCAATTCTAGACCCTCTGTCTGCGACATTTTACTCTCGTACTCCGGCTATACTTACCAAGAGGGCGGAGAAGGGAAGTATTTGCAGGGAAGGAAATGTGGTTAGCGTTACAACAAAATAATGTCCCATTTCAATTTTTGGGGGACTTTTTATAACTTTCATTTTTTTGCAGAGTGATTCAAATTACTTATATATAACAACTTTAAATTGTCTGTCTTCAACTCCACTTTAACCCATTTGTAAAATTTAGTAAATAGAACTAAAATTGATCTCAAGACTCAAGCAGTAAGAATTTTTATGTCAATTAAACACTGGTGAGCAGAAAACAATGTTTAGCAAATTTAGACCGAGTACACAAAAATTAGCAGATTCTCATCTGGCCTTTTTTAAAAAATGAAGGAGGCAGGCGTTTTTTTCTTTTCATTTCTTTCTTTTTTCCCACAAGATGGCAAATGTCTCAAGATGGTGGATAGATTCTTCAGTTTTCTTGACTATTTTGCTGATACAAAAATTGTGGCAGAAGGGGCCATAACCCTTTCTACATAGCTACAATTTTGTTGGAAACACATAAAATAAACAATATATCGACAATATATGTGCAAAATGTTTTGCAATTGTATGAATTAAAAAAAAAAAAGGCGGCGGGAAAAAAAAGGAGCAGGCGGGGACGAGAAACTGGTTTATTTTTTTTACATGGACTTTTGTGCTCAACAAATATCAGACGAGAACCAGTCGTTAGCAATTAACATTGCATTTCATGTTGCCTGGTAACCTGTACCAGCTAAGCAACTGTTTCTAGCTATGCTGAGCAAATGTCTCTGTTTTACAGCTCCTTAAAAATCAGCCCTTTTCCACAAATACTGAAATGCTATAACTGAAAAACCCAGTCCTACCCGGTTGGATTTCCGGCTGGCCAAGTCCAGTTGGCTGGATTTCCGGCTAATGCTCGGTTTCTCTGATTCGTCGTCCGAGTCTGGTGCCCAGTGCTTGACTTTGTTCTGCAACTCCTCCTGAAACATTAGAAAAAAGAAATGTGTACAACACAATGACCTTCAGCTCAACAGGAGTAAGACTATATTTTCTAGGACTTACAGCTGTTGAGAAACAAAGATTAGTTTCGGGGTACATGTGTCAAACTCAAACTCTGTTTAAAACGGGTATTGTGGGTTTTTTTTGCACAGTCTATTGTCTTCTGACTGAGCCACTGCCTGACTAACCGACTCCCCGACTGGCTGGCTGGCTGACTTATAAACAATGTCCTAAACTGAGGCTTTCAGGTCCAGCTGAACTAGGAAAGCACAGTCTGGCTTATAGGGAATATACAACATTTGCAAACATCGAAAAACAAAACTACCAAATTTTTACGAAATACCTTCCTAGGATGTTGGTAATTGACAGTCTAAAGCATCCTGTAAAATTATAGCACCTGGTGTGAAGTCATTTTCAAGAAAAGTAGTATTTTGTATCAATTTCCAACGCTGGTCGGCCGACCAGCGTTGGAAAAACCTAACTATTTTTCAACTACTGCTACAAATTTACCATATTTTTTTCAGTCCAAATTGTGTTTGCTATCGGTTACATGTTCATGAACGGGTGCAGGCCAGCTAGACTGGTTTCCTTACCTTACAATTTTCCGGCATCTATAAATTGATCCATTTCATCTTTAGTGGAGTCAGGGAGCCAGTTTTCTTAAAAATTGTTGGTTTTCTTGGTTATTCCAGCATTTTCGAAGACAAAACTTCAAACATGTCAGTGTAACAATAGTTGTTCTATTATACTAACCCCTCAAATAGTTCATTTCTGAAACTAACGGCAAAAACCAATGATGTACATTCCCTTTAAATGTATATGCTTTGCAGGGATGAATTCATCATGACTCGCAAATCGACAAAACATAAATTCAAGGTTGCATCTCTATATGATTACTGATCGTTCACACAGCAGCAGTCTACATGTACACGTACACAAAGCTGTATCCTTAAAAAAAATGTCTTCATATAATGTTACAGGTGTTTACATCACGGATCATCCAAAGGGCAAAACCTTTGATTTTTGACACAGCATCAGTAGACATGACATGAAAAGTTCATCCAATCCGTGTAATACAAGAACATATGCTCATTCAATGTCAAATCTGTTTATGTCATGGACCACCTATAGTTCAAGCTAGCGTGGATCTCCTCATTATGTTTACAATGCATCCTAACAGTTGCACAATAAATCATTTGATGTGCCAATAATTTTCGATTAATGTTTATCTCAGATTTGACATCATTTATAAGAAAAGAATAGAAATACATGAACTTTTACTATGTATTAAAAATTAACTTTACATTGTTCTCAAAATCACACTTTGTAAAAAAGGAACACATTTTACAGACTGGTTCAGCGTACTGAAAACCATTTTTACCAATAAACCAACCCCAAACAAGGTAACCGACCAACCAACTAACCAACCAACAAATGAGAGAAATCTGTCAGCTTACCTCTAATTTGTCAATTTTTTCCTGATACTCTGCCTTCACTGCTTCAATCTCTGCATTGTGCTGATGTTTGAGGGAGACAATAGTCGACTCATGATGCCTTTGCAAATCTGTTAGCAGAGAAAAATTAGGAAACCAAATATTATAGGAAAAAAATTTGTAACACAGACTTGATGACTTGGAGAGTATTACTTTCATGTACTTAAGGAATTGCATGAGACTGATGACACAAAAAAATGCCCAACAAAAATAAAAGAAAATACCCAGATAGGAAAATATAGTTAGCATACAAAAAATTAGGCGTCAATATTATTTGGCATGAAACATATTAACATCAGAAAGAAACTTGTTATAACTTATAAAGTCTAAAGATACTAGTTCATATTCTGCACACAAAACTTGATGGAACTACATGTAAACAATATACACAGAAGATCAATTGAATTTAAGTACTTGATTTTACAATTTTAAACAAAAAGTTGTGCATCTTTTACTTTAATTGGCAATTTTCAAACCATTCACAAAACTCTGACAGCTTTCTTTGCAATCAAAATACTCCCCCCCCCCCACCAAAAAACAAAAAAGAAAAGCACCAGGTTCTTGTCACGCATTTTGGAGTGCCAAGACTTGAACCGGGAAGTAACAAAAGTGGGCATGAATACCAACAAAGTGATAACACGGGCAATCTTTTTGTCCCGAAAATAATAGACGTGACTGAAGTCAAGCACATTTATCATAACCGTTGAGTGCTTAGGTCAGCAAACGCATTGTGCACTTATCTTTCTTATCAGTGGTTCTTTTATTTGAAGCTCTATGCACAATCTTTTTCAGGTAAGATTTGGGACATACAACTTTTTAGAGTTAATGGGAATCTGTAAGCAATAAAATTGAATCTTAAAGAAAATAACTGCAACTAATCTTAGACTATGAACCAAAACCATGTTGACATACTTTTGAATTGTTATATATGTTATTTTTTATAACATCCACCTTATGTAAAGCCCATTTGACTATTTTTGGGGGGAATAAATTAATTCATTATTACTTTAATTACATATCGGTAGTGTACTACCATTTCAAGGGGCATGATTGATTTGATGATGGCCCCATGCAATTTTAATGGTTCAGTTTGTAAGATAAATATTTAAATCGGATTGCTTATAAGTGAGAGGCTAAATGCTTTAACACATTTCAGAATTTGAAAACCCTGATAAAACCAACAACAAATTTTTAGAATGGCAAAATAACTAGAAGCATAAAAATGTGATACCGCATACAAAATTCCCAAATGCCTTCTCTGAAATTCTTGAGACTCTGATAACATATATAAAATCACCAAAGCACAGTTGAACAACAAAAGAAAGCTGTGTTCTTGTCTCATGAATTAATAATTTCATTACCGTTTCTAGATTCATCAAGTTGCACCTGTAGCGTTGTAATCTTGGACTGGAGTTTGTCAATACTTTGCTGCAAAACAACAAAAGTCACAAAATCAGTACTTAAAAAAAGAAGAGAATTTACTCACAACTTCAGTCCATCACACCATAAATATAATATATCCAAGCTTGGGGGGAATTTAACAGTTACTGAGTCACAGCAAAGTGTGTCTGCAGTGAGTTCTTATTATCGTCGGCTACCCAGTCATTGGTCCACAAGGCTTATGCAAATCAATTTCTAATCAATATTCAATAGTGGCTTTGTTTTTCTATTGAAGGCATGGAGGTCTGGTTACAATGGGAACCATGGAGTCTAATGCTTCAAAGGAACCAGACAACCGACTAATCAATAGGTCATAGAGATTACAGAAGGCTCAGAGATGCTATTGATTTTTTTCCGGCCTGGAAAGATGTTTTGACAGAATCAAAGGGTTCGGAGAGTAATTAATTTTGCATGAGTTTTACAAGCTGGAGCAGATGAAATCGTACAAGGGGTGCACAACAAATACAAGGTTGTTTTTTTTTTGTAAAGTGTGCTGTGCTCGAGCGACCTTAGTGTTGGTTTATTCAATTTGTGCCAAGAGAGGGCGCTGTGGATGATTGCGAAAGACTCGTCTCAAACTTGTTGGTGTCGTTGATGAAGAAGTTGTGCAAGATGTGATTGAACAGTATCGCCAAGCTCATCGTCCAAAATCAAAAGCAAAACACCCCCCCCCCCCTCCCCAAACATAATCCCATATCCCAAAATGACACATGCATCTACACAAATTTCACTGCACATTCATCTGAGAAATTATCCATAGAACAAACATTAAGTGTCATGAAAACAAACTTAAGGTCAAAAACACAGAAGCTTTGAAGAATCTATCACAAGTGCTGGCATCGTTTCAATGAAAGGAACACCAAATCATTCACAAGCTATTCATACTCCATAAAAAGTATTTTGTCAACATCACATAAAAAAACTACAAGGACATATATATGTACACATTAAAACAATTGGTGCAAGTTCAACTATTGCAACTCAAAGTGCAGACAGACACAAGGTCTTTTCACAAACTTTTCCACTTTGTGAAAATGCCAGAAGTGCAACAAAATGTGCATATTTTCTTAACTGTTGATTGTGCACAATTAAAGAAAAGTAATATGGTGCTTGTGATGATATTCATCAACAGAACTACAACGGTTTAATTAAGTGCAATCCTTGTTTTTATGAAAAACGGTTTGGTTCTTTAATTTACAATAAGTTATCCAAAATAAACAGAAGTTTTCGCAACAATCCATTGAACAAGACAACAGAATCACTAGTTGCATTTTGTTACATTCGTTTCAACTGACAGAATTTTACACACCAACATAAAATCACCAATTAAACACTTACATACATGTACACAATACTATATTTTCAATATTGAAATATAGCAAAAATAAAACATCAGGTATCGGTACTTACAAAATGAAATGTATACAAATGAATGTATACAAAATGAATAAAAAAATAAAAAAATACTCACTCCGTGCAGAAAACTAAATAAAAAACTGATGAAGTGAACATTGTGAATGAATGGGTTGACACATGAACACAACATAAACCGAGTCGATGGGTGGGTGGGTGTGGATGGAGGGATGGATTGTTAGAAACGTTACTTGTTTCCTCTGTGAAATCGACCAATCGGATTGTTCCGGGCAGGCGGGATAGGAAGGGAGAAAAAGGGAAATTAGTTAGGTTGCATGTTACTGGGAATTTGATTATGCATAATACTTTGTTAGTATTTTAAGTGTTGCTACTCTGTCAGTGATTTTCTAGGAAAGAAATGCCAAGGCTTATTAAAATGAAGAGTTACAATTTGTTAATTTTTGTATCCAAATTCAAATGAAAATTTTCCAGTATGAATATTTCAATCTTAGGTCATACTTTAACTTAGTAAAAGATCAAGTTTCATGTAACTTTTTGTTGAATGACAAAAGGACCACTTAAGTATGGGTCATATAAATTTGGGGTCAATTTTTTTCCTGCCCCTGTTGCTTCAGACGTCTTGGTTTTATAATTCTGGAAGCACTCCTTAATGCAGTTGTCCTCCAGGATTAATTACGAGTAGCGTACCAGCACATGTACTTCATATCCAACTAAATAAAAATATGTGTAAAACCATTCTTAATGATACTCAAATGGCAAATTACAAAGTTCGGAGGAAACATGTCACACCTTGGACCCTAAATTTATATAGAATGACCATGTATACATATTTAACCAGCATTTTGCATTACAAGTATCAAAATCTAAAATGCTAGAACAGTCTCTAGAGATTTAGAATGATTCAAGGCAAGCCAACGATCTGAGCAAATTAAACCCAGCATCGGAACAAATCATGACAGCAAGCATCAAATTCATGCTTGCTTAATTTGAACAACTTGAATTTGATTTCACACAATTAAAGAAATTCTGGTATGGGGGGAGAACCAACATCATCAAATGTAAAGAAAGTACAAGTGCATTTTAGTAGATCTTGAAGCACAGCCAAAATTAAAATACATTGTAGTCTACTTTCAAGGATCAGATATTTTGTCCGTTTCATATTTTATAACAGTCCAATTTGTTCTAGTTTTCGGCTGTGACAAGCATAATTAATTCCATTATAAAACAAGAATCAAGTGATGATCATGAGGTTCATGCCCCTTTAAAAAGTGTGTTTCTTTCTGCTAGGAACTCTACACCTGTTGCACTTGATCTTCACATGGAAGACCTTATAACCCTAAAACTCTCGCTGTGCTTAATCAAATTTATACTAGGCAGATAGGATGTCAGGCGAACATACAAAATCAGTCCATGCAACTTTAACAATGGGAAAATCCAAATTTACATAATGGAAACTAACAAGTTACCAAAACTGTTGAGGATTCTCACAAGAAAAGGTAACTTTATCTAAATTCAAATACTTTTAATCCCCATTCAAGATTTGTAAAACAAAAATAAGTAGATAAGCAAACATTTCAACGAGAGTTAAGAAATCAAACAACTTTGCATGCAATGCCAAAAAAATTGAGGGAAAAAAAACCCACAACACTTAAATTCATCTAACAAAAACAAATTTAAATACACCAGGAATACTTTAAAGAACCAAAAATAAGTGAAACCATTCTTCCGAAGAAAAAAAGATTAAAGAACGGATATTTGGGGGATATGTTAAAGCATGGAGTAAGTAATGCAGCAACATGATCAACAAGCATCAATGAAACATTTTTTGCAATCTTTGCAATGTCTCAAAGTACGAAAAAGTACAATTGGTAAAGTACTCCACAAGTCCTCACAAACAATTTTATACTAACAACTCACCTCAAGAAGAATTTTACGTACACGTAATTTTCCAATTTGGTTTCAAAACACTTAGCCCAGACTGCAAAATATCCCTCACATTCCAAGACAGTACTCTGCACTTGTAACACGACCTTGAGCATCAACATTAGCATTCAACTGACATGATCCCTAACTGCCACAAGACACCACGATGCTCCAACAAAAGGGGAAAAAAGTTCCTGGTATGGGAGCCAGTGAATAATGACAGGGCACCAGGTAGACCCCTTTGGTCCCATGTGTTGACAAACGCCATGGTAACTACACGCTACTCGATGCCAGTGCCGCCAGAGTTTAAACATTACCCTTTCTGATAAGATTAACCTTCATCGAGGGGGGGAGGTCAGAACCCCAGAGAAATCTCATGACAGATTTATAATACAAAATTCTTTCTTAGTTATTGTGAAAGTACAACAACAATTCAGACCAGATGAGGTCAAAAAGATAATTGGACTGGGGCAACAGGTGGAACATAAAAGAAGTAATTTTTAGGAGATTATTATTTGAATTTATTTGGGGGTTACACTAATGCATTGTATGCAAGTTTTGCCTACAGATTGTGACTTTTGTATGAATTGGACAAGGTTATTGTCAGTAAATGTGTGGTTTTCAGATAGGGGCCTTTTTTGCATGGTGTTTGTAGAAATTTGGGGAAAAGAATATCAAAATGTTATAATCAGCAGAGGTACAATTTTGAATTCAAAATAAGAGGCACTGAACCAAAACAAGTTATCTTGAAAAATCCTCAGGGATGAAATTAACATTTGTTTGGTCCCTTTCACGTTTGTTTGGAACCTGTCAAATTGTAAACCTATGATTGTGAGATATTGGGCCATTTAGCTGCATTGTGAAAAGTGAGTCCCATACATGTAAGTTGAATGTAGTATGGGACTGAATAGTATCAAGTTATTGGCAAATATTAATGCCACCTTTTTAAAGGCATCTTCAAAATATGGTGTTTGGTGCAACTAACAGTGGCAGTTGCTGTCTTGCCGTAGATTAAAGATTAAATCTGTATTTATTTATAAAGTTTTTAACCTTAATTCCGTCTTTTCTGTTTTAATACTGTGCCATATTCAGTTGTTTCTTTTCATATGGTACTCAGTATTGTACTATTTTCATCATTATTCTTAACTTTTTCATTGATTATTTCCACTTCAAATTGTTTTTTTATGGGGAAGAGTTACAAGGCATTTTGAATTAAAAAAAAAAAGACTTGTTGAAAAAACAACCAAACATACAAACACCCTAACAAACCACCGACCCCCCCAAAAAAACAAAACACAGTTCAAAAGACAGTCTAGAGTTTCAACTGCATATTTGTAAAAAAAAAAAAAAAAAAGACAAAGATGAAAACAGAAATTCTCCCCTGTATAGAATAATGAACAGCCAGATATTTTTTAATCACCAAAAATAAATGTCAATTGTCAAGAACGTTACAAAGCTAACTGCACTGAAGCGCTGATAACCTTTGAACGAGCGGCGCGTTACATGGAGCAATTTGGACACGCAGCAGAATGACAATTAAGATAAGAACGCCAGACGACGCCTCATTTATGGACTGGACACGATTTCTTATGAGTCATCTGAGCCTTTCAATGAGGGTAAAGTTGTTAAAATTGAGTTCAGCTCGACAGACATTGGAGGAAAATATACTCCAGGTACCCAACAACATCAGTCATTGGTTAATTATTGAAAAGCAAGTGGATTTTTGAAATCAATGCAAAGGAAATTTCTTTCACACTGTACAACAAAGCAGCTGCCAACAGGTATAAAATTTTTGTTCATGACCAGGAGTTTAAAGAAAGGTCTTAAAAATATCAGGAGATTCTGCAAGTCTCTCACTTTTTTGGGGTGGATCATATGCATAATTTATTAATAGGCCTACATGTAGTTGCAAAATGATTAGAAATAGCCTATGATTCACCATTATACAATGTAACAAATTTCGTGGCAAAATGAGAACTTCTAATAAAAAAAGATACAAAGCAAAGAATTTAAGAACAGGTCAAATAGGATTCAACTTTATGGCTGCCTGTCATTTGTGACAGTGTCTTTGTACATGTACATGTATTCAGACAAGTCACATGTACATGTATGTTTGAAGTTCAACTAAACTTATATTGTTACTGAACCCACATCTGTTATTAATTAGCTCTGTTCTTATCCGTCAATCTAGAAACAGAGGTTTTGCATAATTTGTTTATGTATGACTGTATCAGACAATTTTAACCCAAAGAAAATTTATCAATTTTTTTTTTAAGAAAAAAAAAATGTTTACATTTCTGTTTCAAAGTGTTCCCAAAATTTCTGAAAGTTTTAAGAGATTCCTATAATTTTGCCAAATTTTACTCCATTCTTGACAAGCAACAATTTCTAGGTCTTTTTAACTCTAGCGGGATGCGGCTGTAGCCATTTTGCTGGAGGAAAACGATACAGATACAGACAGCTTTTGGTGGCAAACACAAGACTTGAGTAGATGTAGATTAAGGACTCTGATGTATCGCAAAATAGAGAGATTATGGACGTTTTAGTGTACTGCTGCCACATGCCCACACAGGGGTGCATTCCTCAGCAAAGACACTTTGAGTTGTTATACATTCAGACAAAATTGATTGTATGTACTTTATACAATATGCATGAAAAATGTGTAGGCTCCCTGTTCAAAACACACTGAATCTCATGGTTCATAGAGCACCATCTACTGTTTCTTGCAGTGGTTTAAATCCGTGTTGACTACTGGTCGGGACTGGAAAAAATGCTGGAAAGATCCAGAAACTTCCAAAGACATTGCAAAATTTGAAAGCAGGAGGCAGGGGGAGGGGTAGGGGGCTGGACACAAGTTGAAGATACGTTGCACTGTTCATAATAGAATCTTGTAAGAAAACATGTGTACATACAAGCATATGCACACTTTTCAACCAAAGGCAGTTTTACTGTTATCATTAAAGTAACTTTAATTCATGGGTAGCTTGGATGTTCCTCTTGTTTTTATTCTCAATTTTTACCACAAGTAGAAATTGTTTTTATTCAGCACGAAAAAATGGGAGGATCTATCGCATGGCCCATCCCCTCTGGTCAAAAAGTAAGGTGGAGGATAGATCCACCATATCCCCCCCCCCCCCAGGATTTACATGTACGCCTGTGGCTCCTGCAACTGAGTCCCTTAGCTGCAGCAGTTCCAAGTATAACTCAAAAGTTCAAAACTTTACACAGTCTCTCTTCCCATGGAAGTTTTAGAAATACTTGACCTAAATTTTGGGCTTACCTCATTGTCTTCGTTAGCGGCTCGTAGTTTGACCACCGTAGCCTCTCTGGACTGTTCCATCTGTTGGTTGGTGAGATCGCGATCTGCCATCGTGCGATGCAGTTTCTCTATCTCTTCTTCTTTCTCCCGGATTTGCAGCTTGAGATCGTCCACTTGCCCAAGATTTTTCTGTGGAATGAAACAAGACAAGGCAAGCCTAGTAAAGCTGGTCCTAGAACACACACAATTCTATTCAATTTATTCACATGGCAATTCACTGGAAGCTCCTTTTCATACTTCTTGTGTACAATGGGCCAAATTTAGCCCGTTCATTGGAATTACGGGGTCATCCTATAGGACAGCACTGCCCGGCTCACATAATAATATAATACTGGAGTCTTATATAGCGCACGTATCTACCAACAATTAGGTACTCAAGGCGCTAGTAATTATGTCTATTTTAAAAGACAGGTCAATGAAGTTTATTAGAAATGTGAGACCCATTATGTAGCACCTTATAAGGGTTTACAAGGTGCTGCGGCGCATATTGCAGCCACTGCCAGAAAACACCGGGGCAAACCCCTTCTCTTAGCGATAAGTGTTACTGGGTTCTTTAACGTGCATTACACAACACACGGGATCTACAGCTTTATGTCCCATCTGAAGGACGAAGCAATAATGGTAAAGTGCCTTGCTCAAGAGCACAAGCACCATGTTCCCCGTCAGGATTCGAACCCATGTACCATGGCACACGAGTCGAACAACTTAACCATTGGACCACAGCACCCCACAAGTGACAGTGAGTCGGGGAGTGAGTCCATCAGTCAGTCAGTCAAACACAAAGAGGGCGCTAGGCTGGCCCCTCAGGGCTTAGCAAAAACACATGGGCTGTTTCAAATGCTAGGAAGTCAATGGTATTGTAACAAATTTAGTTGGGAGAGAATTTCACTGGACAATGGATGGACCCTAAGTTTGCCAAAGATTTTACTGGAAACAAAAAATGGGGATTTTTCAAATGCTGAGAATTCATTAATTTAGTGGGGAGGGTGGCACATTGGATGGACTATTATGAATAAGATTAGCAAAAATGCAACAATGGGAAAAACTGAAAAATATGCAATTCGTGCTATACTAGGGTTGACCATTCAAACTGCAGTTGTACGTGTGTTGGTATAAGCAGTTCGACTGATGAACGTACCATTGTTAATGAATGAAAATTTATTCAAGATGGAAACAGAATCTAGTTTCTTGGAGCCTTGATTTGATTACCTTGGCTGTTTCAGCATTATTCTTGTATTTCATGACTTCCAGGTTCTTGACATCAATCTGCTTGTACAGCCTCGTCATCTGATCCTCTTTCTCTTCAATTTCTAAGAAGAAAAAAGAAAAGACAGCATGAATTATGCTTTAAATGGTATTCACAAATACCTCATATAGTTTATCCATTCCCATTGGTCGAGAGCCTGTCACGTGGCCGGTCTTAAACGGATGAAAAAGACATGGCTAGCTGGTCTTAAACACTTTTCCAGTGTCACATGAAATTTGGACTCCTATGAAATCCAGTGCCTTTTACCGTTTTATTGGTTGAACGTTCACAATCTTCACGTAGGCATATATCAATGACACTTGAAAGATCTACATTTTCAAAACTTGTACAGGCCACAAATTTGACATCAAGATTTGAGGCATCTTTGAAAGTGCCACTTCTGATTTTTCCTCCAAAATCCAATGGAATATTAAAAGGTTATTTAAATTACTTCCCGTACGTGCAAGTACTGGGACCCATTCTTATAATCTTTTGCTTCATTTGGGCCCCTTTACAGACTCGTTTTGTATTAAATGTATAAGTTCTTTATGGTCATTTTCATCCAAGATTATGTAGAAAAATACACTAATAAAATAAAATAAAATTTGACGTCAGAAACTATTCACCACGCAATTTGCATGAAATTTAATACAAATTCGCAAAGCAAGTTCCCTTTGTGACAGCACATCATTTGTGTGACATCATGTGTTTGCTTTACCAATGAGAACAAATCAGCGTTAAGGCTGTGTCTAAAGCATACAGTTTAGGCTACTCGTTTGTGTTTTTTTCCCCAGTGCCACACTCCTATAGCCCTAGACAGAAACTTCAAATTAGCTGGGTTTTTATACACTGAAAGTTATCTGCCACAACAGCAAACATTGTCGATCGATTGAGCACAGCTTGTCTGATGTGCCAATGTTTTGAACGTTAGCAAATATTTACAACATGCATCACAAATTTTCACAAGTCAAATCACAAGTCGGGTCACGAGTAACAGGGGATGTCAAAGGAATGCCTATTTCATTTTTATTAGCTTGTCACATGAATTGAGTCTGGATGGCTTGTGATTGAGTTACGACGAATTGTGATTGACTTATGACAACTTAGGATTGACTTGTGATCCATCGTTACTGTGAGATCTAACCTGTCTGTGCTCCCATCAGCTTCTCCGTTAGGTTCATAATGTCATCCTTGGCTTGCATCAGGGCCTTCTCCAACTTCTTCTTGCTCCTAGAGTGAAAACGAAAACCAACAAACAGATATCAAACAAATGCAACATGGTTTGGAAGAAGCATCGCTGGTCCTGAGGTGCTGGCTAATTTGACGACTCCCAACGCAAAATGAACTCTGTTGTATTTATTTGATGACACTTCACACAATTTAACGTTGACTTCAAAGCTCGGTGGCCGAGTGGTAACACATCTGTACCAGTAGGCAGAAGGTTCAGGGTTCGAGCCCCACGTGAGTAAGATTGTGAATTTTTTTCTTGCAAGCTAACAGACAACGCTGAGTAGAGCATTTACAAACTTCAGGCATGTAACTCCCAAGTTGAAGTTGTTTTTAGGAAAAACAAGGAAATTCCAAACCACACAAGACTTTGTACAGTGTTTTTCAATTTGTAATGGCATTCATGAGAAGTAAAAAAAGAGGAAATCAGCAGATCCGAGGAAAAGTTGTATGTCTGAAACTTTCGTCGGAGAAGGGCAAAACCTAATTTTGAATCTACATCTCCCTAATGTAAAAATGCTATCATAACAGTGATGGGAGTGGTACCTGTTGCTATATGTTTATCAGATTGCAACCTGCCAGCTTATCCTGGTTGAGTGGTTGTGCACTAGTAAGCAGGACGTTGTGGGTTCGAGCCCCACTCGAGAAAGCCTGTGATTTTTTTCGTAAGCCTTCAGTCAACACCAAGTATACAGTGTTTACGACATTCCGTCAAAAGTCAATATTGATTTCTTGATGGAAAATTCCATCGTAATAGTGGCGGGGAAGGTTAGCGAGATTCAGAGAAGCAGAACTTACTTGGATGCGGCCTTGCCTCCGTGTAGCTTCTCCACGATGTTGAACATATCGTGGCCGATATCGTTCAGCCTCTGAGCAGCGCTGGCGGCAGTGTCCAACGCTTCTTGGACTCTGCTGGAGATCTCGTCCATTTCATTCTCGTTGGCTGGTTTGTGTATTAACTCTTCCTCTTCAATGGTGTTGATATACGCAGAAAAGAACTGGGAAACAGACGTATTGTGGAGAATGAAAAAAGATGGCAAAGCAAATCTAGTCTAGACACTGTTGAAATATTTTGACTTTAGTATGTAATGACACATTAGTCAGAATAAAATTACTTGTGTGTACTTTGTGCCATATACAGGGCGAGTCAAAAAAAGCGAAACCCAAATGTCGGGACCATTGTTTTAGTGAAGTTGTGCATGTAGCCCTTTCAAAATCTAGGATACGAAAGCCCAATACATCTATAGGCTTTCTTTTAGTACTAGAATCATTCAAATCACTTAAGTACTTTTCAAGTTACAGAATTTTAAACACAACCACCGTTTTAATGTTCTGTCCACGGATCACAAGAAGGTCAGTGTTCTTTCAGCGAAACGAAAACGAATCACATAGGGATGAGTGTGAATTGCTTTTGATTTGCTGAAGGAACGCACACCTTTTTTGTGATCCGAGGACAGAACTTTAAAATGTTGGTTGTGTTTAAAATTCCGTAACTTATTCTTGTACTAAAAGATTATGAATTGGGCTTTCATATTCTAGATTTTCAAAGTGCTACATGCCAAAATTTCACTAAAACAATAGTCCCGACATTTGGGTTTCGCTTTTTTTTACTCACCCTGTACATGAATCAGTTCGTGGAACAATGTGTTCCTCCAAATGGAGCTCTCGGAAATAGTCATAAAGCGCCCTCTATTGTTCACACACACAGTCCATAGAATTGTAATGGCACACAACAACCAATGCAATTTTAAGTTTTGCTGTGTTTGCTTTATCTTTAAATCATTTAGATTGGTTATTTCTGCACAAGGTTGAACAAAACCTCTACGTGAGACCTCAAATTCAGCTTGGGGAATACTCGGGACCTCACCTTTGTTACAGGGAAATTTTGAAGAATTTGTTGTTTAAATGGTGACTTGTATAAATGGCCGGTAATTGTCGAACAGGTTACAGTGACGGGACACCTTGAACCCCAAAATATGTGGAATTTCTTTGTTCCTAAGAATTGTGGCAAAATGTCTGAAATTTGTTACAAAATGTCTGAAATTTGAACTAAAGATGTTTTACTTCAGGGATGCCTTTGAATTAGTAGTAATGTGTGAATTTCAGACATTTCTTTTCCCAACAAGAATTTTCAGTTATTTTAGAGGGTTTAAGGAGAGGTCTATACTTACATCATTAATCTGAGACAGCAGTTTGAGTCTCTGTCCAGACTTGCTCTCATAACCCACGATGAAGATGGTCACCTCCTGTTGGTATTTCCTCTTCTGTATCGTATCCTTGATGATCTTCTCAAGCTCGATCTACCAAAGAAAATGGAGAACGATTGTAACAAATATGGAAAATGAGAAAATAGCACCTTTTCTAACTCAGATAAGATTTGAAGGTTTAAAGGGTGAAGTGAGCAAAAAGAGCAAGTTTGCAGTTTCACTATGTGATTGTGGAATCTCACACAAGTAATTTGTCACATGGTGCAACTCGAAACTTACTCTTACTATCTTAACTCAATGGACCTATCCTAACAATTAATTATGGGCGTTACTTTCTACTTAAAAACTGTATGGTGCCTTGAAAATGTCTTACTTTTTTTTTGCAGCTTCAAATTAATGGTTGCCACCTTGTGACAATTCAGCTGTACTGCCGGTTGAACACTTTATCAGACTTTTCTTTTATTTTTGGAGTATTTTCTGTTACCTTTTGGATCTTTTTATTGTTTTTGATTCCTTTATGATTATCTCATCATACTGCACTATTACCCTACAATTTGAAGGTCAAACAAATTGTTTTCACACATCTGAATTTCACTTAGTTGCATAAATCCTTCATCAAAATCTTGTTACACATTCGGTTGAAATACTTTCACCCATTTGTCTCTGTACCTCCCCAAAGGACCTTGCATGTTACTTCTTATAACACCCTAACTGCCCTTGTACTCTTATAGTTTTATTGATTCTTTCAAGGAGTAAATATACTGCAGTATAATGTAAAACAAGTGTTAATGGGAAAATTAAAGCAAACTTTTAAAGCTATATTTAAGCTCTAAGTTCACCGGTGTTGTTTTTTGGATCCAAATAACTGTCATAATTTTGGATCTCAACACTACAGATTTTTTTCCCCAAAGTGAGAAAATTCTTGTTGTCAAAGACTTCGATCTTTCAAAATACACAGTTCTTACCAAATCAGGGACAAAGAAGGCAGCTTTGTTGTCACTCATCAGCTTCTCGTCTAGTTCAAATGCTGCCATAGCCTGTCAAAACAAACACACAGACTAATTGCTTATTAATCTGCATCTGCCAGCTTCCAAACCAATATCTCCTGTGTCTCACAGTAACTTGTGATCTTCTAAGTTTGTTCTTTAGTCTCTACGGTGAGAGTTGTCAATTTCAGCACCAGGCTAAACTTCACCTGCTACAGGCAACATAAGGACAAAACATTTTATAAAAGGCCCTCTGTAATATTATCTGTTTTAATACAATCCTTGAAATGCATCTTTTTGGTCCAATCTTACTGTATTTTAATTTTCACGCTCATTTTCAAGGGCGTTCTGGTGCCTTATGTTAATGCGAACTTTCCATATTCATGACAAAAACTGTAATGCCATTCAAGGCAGAAACCTCAGTGTTACAGCCGCTTCAACATCACAAGTTGCCAGAAATTTGGGTGTTTTTGCTGTTGCAAATTTTCTGTTTTTGGTGGTTCATTGTTGTTTCATAACACGACAAAGTCAATCACCAAAACCTTATGCGAAAATGTTTTAAATGAGCAAAATTTTGGGTTCCCAATTTAAACAGAAAGGTGTGTCTAAAGTGACATCACAGTACCAGCACCCTCTGTTGTTTGGAAAAGCATAAAACGTTTCAACTATTGCACTTTACAATTTTTTTTATTCAAATAGGGATGTCATAGTTTTCATACATTTCATAGACCCTTAATAGCTTGCAATCATCCAAGCTTTGTCCTACCTGCTCAACTCTGGTTGTGATCTTCTCTAGCTGTTCCTTAGTCTCTTCCACGCGCCGTTCAGATCGGGCCTTCAGGTTCTTCTCAATGACCACCTGCGCAGGGGCATCCCCACGGTCCATGACAGAGGTAACGGAGCCCCACCGTGAGGCACCCCCGGCCCCCTCTCTGCTAGGGCTGATGTCACTGTTGTTATCCACCACCTCCATTATGATGCTTGCGGGGGATAACTTTAAACTGAAATAGTAAAAAAAAAATTGAATATCATCAGTAGGCATAATATCACTGATTATCAATATCAGGGCATTGTTTAGCAGCAAAAATCTAAGAATTTGCTGACAACCGATGTATGTAACAAATAACGTTAAATAAGGATGAATAATTTTGCAAACAGTTTTAGAAATAGGCCTAGGCCTAGCTTGTTTAGGTTTAGATTAGATAGGCTAGTCCGAGTAACCTAACTAGGACTATATGAATCACCTTTTTTAACATTTGGATAAGGCCGGGCGACCATGTCCAAATGTTAAGAAAGGTGTTTCGTAGAGTCCTAGTTACACTAAGATTACGCCTAGTCTAGAACTTGAATTTAGAAAAGGAATTAAATTTTCCTTGGTTGCTTGCAGATGGTCCGAAACATTTTCATGATTTTTGAGTTTGATCTTGCGCATTATTTTGATAATTTTTTATTAGGCAGTGGATATTTTGCCGGAGACGGCAAACCTTTAGTAAACGTTAGTTTGCCGGATATGCACTGAACATGCGCAGTTACTGTTTTTTTGTACTTAATCATTTTCCGGTGACAAATTTTAGTCTGGCTCCATGCCAATATTATCGTTGTAACCTCGTATTCACAAGATGGGATTCAGACCATTTTATAATTTCGGACTTTAGGCCTATTTCCCTTTTTAAAAAAATCCTCCAGAGCCACAAATCTGAAAAAGAAAATGTAATATTCTGCAATAAAATGTTTGAGACATGTTAAAATAATAAAAGAAGAATATTCTTATTTATTTGGGGATGGGGAAAAAAAATTAAAATGTGGCGGCGATCGGGACCGAACCAGAGTCATCCCGCTCTCTAGAGCTCAGCTTTTGCTTAACCACTACACCAAACGTGCTACACAAAATTTGGTGGGAATTTAATACATCTTATAATTATATAGAGTACAGCGCCCTCTTATATATCTTATAAAGAGTACAGCGCCCTCTGTTGATATGGATTGCCGCTGGCAAACCTTTAGTAAACGTTAGTTTGCCGTCATTACCTCCGGCAAAATATCCACTATCTTTTTATTATTTTAAGTCACACCAACATTCACTGCGCGCTGCGCATGTGATGGAAGAACCAGGCGAACCAGAGCAAAAATCTCAGAGTCTGGGTCATGGTGAAATAAACACTGCGGGAGTTGCAATGCCAATGGGCATGATGGGGCAACTAGAAAAGTAGAATTGGGGCGAAGTGACCGACACAGCATTAAAAACATCAAACGGAATTAGCCAACCGACTGATGATAGTACCGTCTTTTAAGTTAATTATATCATTCGATAAACCACTTTCAAGTCAAAGTGCAGTATCAGTAATTACCCAACGTCATTCTTGATCGAAAACCACAGAAAACAGCAACTTTACATCCCAAACAGTTGATGTTTACCACCGGTATTTATCACTGCATTGGCGCACTGGCGGCGGCCATTTTGTTACTTCCTAATTGATTGATCACGTGACCACTGGTTGCTAAGTACTCAATCGTAGTCCGCTGAATTATGAAAAGAGTTGACAAACCCCCGATTAGCTGCCATCGATCTGTTGTTACTAAATGTAGGTTCAGGTGACATCGGAAGAGTATATGTGGTTTTTGGACGAAAATCAATATTTTCTTGCACTCAAATGACAACGATGACCACCGAGTTAACAAGGGGCTGGGTGGGGCCTGCCCGCTCGGCGGGCCCGGCGCGCGTGATAAAAATTAAAACCGCCCACAAATGGCAAGTTCACAACAGTCAACACCGTCGTCGAAAAAGCCTTTTTCGAACTTACATGTAGGTGCCTACAAATACTTTGTGACAGAGAATAGCCACACCACCATTGACAAGTTTTTGTTTTTAACTGAGCTGGTTGACTCTCCTGCAAAGCATGGGCGGATCTAGCTTTCAGGAAACCGGGGGGGGGGGGGACCACGAACGGGGGTGCGCCTATACTACGGGTCCAGAGCATGCCCCCAGAAAATTTCTTAAGCATTCTAAGGCAATTCGAGAATAAGGTCAGGAACTTTAGCATTCCAGTTATTAATTTCACATCTCGTTTTGTCGGTAAAAGCGTTTGCCCTTTCCTAGAAAAAAAAGGCAGTGCTCCGCGGCGCTAATCTAGTCTAGGTTTGCATCGTATCATTATTTAATTGAGTAGTTATTGCGGTTTCATAATTGCTGCGCATGGTGTTTTTGATGACTTTGGAGTAGAAACCTGTACTGCGTGGGTTGAAGTTCGTTTTCAGTTTCATTTTCTCGGCTGTTGCTTACGGGGTTTACTACACTTGTAGTTATACCCGGATTGGGATGTGACGTCACGGAAGGAAACCTTTCAGACAACAGAAAATAGATCTGTGAAGTTCCTGAGGAAAAAATGCATGCTGGTAATTTTATGTATTAACTTATTAAGCTCCTGGGAAAGTCCCTTTTTCTTTATCAAGCACAATTCGAGGAAAATAACTGCGTTACGACAGGTACGAGTTCAAGACAGACAGGAAATTTGAAGTCTTGCATTACAAAACGAAAACATCGCCTTCTTTTAGCATATTTCTCTGTTTAGTTTACATCAAATCAAAAACTCTTCAATTCCCATCGTTTTCAGCTAGTTTAAAAACAAAAAGGTTTTAAGAGATCCCTTTTGTAACAGAATATTCAAAAGCAAAATTGTTTATAAAACTCGGTGCTCATGTAAAGTACAGTAGTTCTTTCTAGTTTCACCACTGAACAAAAATTATCCTGAAAACATCTGCATCGAGGAACAGGCATTACAAGTTGGACATAAGTCTGACATCTATTTTCAGCAATTATGCACAAATTCACAAGCATTCAAGTGAAACTTTAATTTTTTTTTTATTACTGAACAATTTGTACTTTCATGAATGTCATGCAAAACAGCAGAGCAGAAATATATATTTTTTTCCTTTAAACAAGACACATTCATAATACATCAAGTTGCCCAAATGAGAATTTTGTTTGTGCCCTTTCTAAAGAAACTTTTTTTGTTAAAACATATTTAGATTGATTTTAAGATTTTCATCATTTTTTTTTTTAATATAGGTAAACACAGGTTTTAAAATACATAAGCTTGATGTATATACATTTTTTTTTAATAACAAAACTTTAACAATGAACATTCACACTAATGCCTTTATCCTTAAAATGCAAGAACAGGAAGCTTAACCTTATCGAGCAAGGAAAAAGTCATTTTCGAGACAAAATAAACCATTCTGTCTGATTACTGCATCTACACTGGACATCCACACTGCTTGAGAAGCAGCTTTACTTGACTCATCTCCTTTTTTTTAATAAATAAAACAGCACTTTTGTGTTGCACACTACAATACCATATTGTTTATACCCATACCTGAATTCCTTCAAAATAAAACAAAACGAGATTATATTAAAAAATAAAAATCCCAGCCACATCAATATTACGTAAAAAAAAACCTGTGAAAACGTAAATGCCATGTGCATGCCACAACCTGAATGAACGATATCACAAGGCAGATATTTACACTTTTAATATTTCTTATCTTTCAGTTTAATAACTTATTTTGTTTTCAAGTACATGTATCATGCATGTCATTCATGCATTTCAATAAAGGTGTGTATTAAAATACTATTTTGTTATAAATTCATGTATTTCTCAGGATAATTTCTTGTCATTTGATGTGAAAGAAACAAGTTCTTAAAAAATTCATTTGAAATATTCCAATTGCAAAGGATTCACTGCTTAAAAATTGATTTATGTCGAACAATTTGCTGCACAGATAAATGCATTTTAAAATCAAAATTAAAATAAAAAGTATTTTCAATTTTACCAATTCAATCATTTCAAAGCTTACCCCAAAATTACAAAATCTATTAAAACAAAATAATATTGGGTGATAATGTCCATATATCAGGGTATTACAGTATTTACATAAACTATTTACAAAATAAAATATGCTTCAATTTACAAGGCATAAATTCACCAGTTAAGCCCGGTTCATACTTCATGCGAAAGCGAATGCGAAGCGAAGTTGACGTCATGAATTTGCTGCGAAATTCGTCCGAGTTGAAATGTGTTCAACTGCGAATTCGCAGCGCGAATACTTGTCATGTCGTCACAAATTCGCATTCGCTTTCGCGCCGAGTATGAACCGGGCTTTACAGGCGTTAGTATTTTTCCACAATTTCACTGCAATAATATATGCATGTCAACAGAGAGATGGCAATCTTTTATCTATATTGCAATACTAAAGAGTTACAGCTAGACTAATCAAGGGAATTTCTACAGTGAATACATGTACACTACATGCAGAATATACAAAGTAACCAAAGTTTTTTTTGCCAGTAACCTACTCATACAGCGCTTCACTGAAAGCTATTGTTGACATTCAGACCATAAAAGTCCCAAAGATACATGTATGCAATGCTGTAGAACTCATACTCATACTCACAAGAAAAATGCTCGTACTCATATTTGTACCCATGGCAAAGTACTTGCATTCATGGGAATGTACCGGTATGTGACTACAACACGGCATGTACCAAAACAAAATATGCATATGTACAACCGAGACCTGCCACAACTGCCTTAGGGGCCATCCGTGTACAGTCGACTCTTGTTAGTACAAACTCTGTTAATACAAAATTCTGGTTATAACAGACATAAAGCCTTGGTCCCGACTGTGCATTGATGTGCACAATGAATGGGACTGATGTTCCTCTTAATACAAAATTCTGATATAACAAACAATTTGGCTAGGTCCGAACGAGTTTGTTATAACGAAACTCGACTGTATATTTTCATCATTTTCATGAGCATACAAACTGAACGCTGGGGAAGGGGGTTTAAGGGGGCCATGTAAGCTTTTCACAAAATAACTTTAAAATATAACACTCTTCCTGCCAAATAGCAGAGAATTCATCATTTTTTCGTTTCAGTTGGCATTCCCTAGGAGGGGGAAGGGGTCCAGAAAAAAAGGACTCTTTGTATGCTCGTGAAAATGATGGAAAAATGGTTGGCCCCTTACATTATTCTCGTAATACATTGCTCGAATGCTGAGTGAATACTATATGAAATGCCTTGAAAGAATTTTTTATTGAATTTGCATGTGTATATTAATTTACAGCAGCATTGCAAAACCAACATGTAATGGGCCCTTGGCTTTACAGGTATGGTTGAAGAGAGATTACACGGGCGAGCTTCGACTATTTGAATATTTTCTTACCTAATACATGAAGCTTAGCAACCTACTCGGTAGTCAAGACAGTCTTTGTTTTGGCAAGAGCAATTTCTCATTTTTGTTCATGTGCATTCCTTTCTATACAAATAATGTCTTTCTCTCAGATTCAAAAAGGTCTGATTTCAGACAAAAGTCTGAAAAATCGCCTTCCAGAATCATGTTCACTTTTTTAAAGTAACTCCATTGTCACTGAGTATTTAAGGATACTTTTCCGACTGCAGGCAATGGCTCATCATGGAAACTATCTCTGACGTATCTTAACCTGTGTTTTGAGTGAAAACATAAAGACCCAAAGTTTATCGCTTCAACACTTGCCCTTTATTAGTGGGAGCATCCAAAAAGATCAATTTTCTGCTACGTAGGAATTTTTCTTATCTACATTTCAGACAACTGGAAAACAGTTGTCAGTTCACAAACTTCATCTAAAACATGAACAAAGTTTTCTACACTGTACATCATATTCATCATGAACAACGAGTCACCGACATATTTACAACTTTGCTTGCCACAAAAAATTACATATTTTATTACCCTGACCTTTTTTTTACCAACAAACACCACTATCACCCCGGTTCCTTTGGGAACATACAATGTACAAGATTTCTGGCATCACCCCCATACAGTGAAATTTCGATAAGTCAAACTCTGATAACTGACAACAACTGTTTAGTCAAACAAAGAAATCCATTGCCTTTAGTAGTACAGCAATGATATACAACCCTGCTTAACTCAAAACTCTGCTTGAGTCAATTTTGAACCTGTTCCCTTGAGGTTTGACTTAGTAAGGATTTACTGTATATGAACTGTAGATAAACTCCTTGGTCTACTAATCGTGTACCAGTAAAGGTCACATGGCATGTGCATACTGGTTTAGGTACACACATGGCGTGGAGCGCACACCACCAAATTTCAGTTGAATGCACACAAACCCATTGCATCTGAAATGCATTTGTCCATAAGCACGCAACACATAGCTTTTGAGTCTCATCATTTTTTCACTGCGGAAGGGCCACAGGTACTGGTATGGCTTTGAATGGAAAGAAGCCATGTACCATTCAGGATTAGGCCATTAGCTCCACCTAAGTTTGGATTGTGTACTTTTCCCACATTGCCTGTAACCAATTTAGACTGAGCTACTGAGGTCACCTGACAAAAAGTAGTGAGCTTATTGGTCAATGAGCACTGTTTGATTATCAGGGAGGATGTGAACTCCTGACCAAAGTCAATTTAGACTTTGTGCTCTCAAACCGTGCTCTCTAAAGCCACACCACAAACCTTGTCGTTTCTCTTTTGCCCTTCAATAAGTTGCATGTAGTCCCCGTTCGGGAGACCTTCCACAGATCCCAATTTGGAACCTTTGCCGATCGGGCTAGCTTCCTCTGGGACAGCCTCTGGTCTGACTGTCCCACCGAGAGTCTGTGCCCGTACATCACTAGAGGGCAGCACACCGTCTAGTTTCTCACTGCTTTTGTTCGGAAGTGACATGTACCCATCCTTTCCCTGGCCCACAGGCGGTTGTTCACTCAAGTCCGGCTTCAAGGCAACATTGTTCCCATTGTTATCAGCTTCAGGCAACATCGGGCTGACCTCGAGTCTACCATCCAGGGGCAAAGTCTCGGCATCCTCCAGCTTGAAGTACTGCTCGCTCTTCGGAGAAAGTGCAGCGTTCTTATCTCCAGGTACACTGACCTTGAAGTAGTACGGACTCTCCTGAATGTCCGATGTGCCACTGAGTGGCCTCTGATCACTACCCTGGCCAGTGGAATCCAGCGTACCAACCGCCCCTGCATGACTACTCTGTGGCTCGGACAAAACGCTCCCAGTGACACTGCTGCATTCGCTTAACGGCCTGGCATGGCATCTACACATGGGCTCTCCTGACGGGGTCCCGGGCGTTGGGCAAGTGTTAGTCTTGATTAAGGCCATGTAGGGGTTCGTGGCACCATCAACAGCGGCCGTTGCGGGGCGATCAAGGAGAGGTGCAGTGGCACTCTTCTCGGCAGCCATCTGACCGCAGCGTGGACACTGTCCACATGCTGCTGCGGCCGCTGCCGCATTCAAATCGGCTGGCCTTACTCGCCCCCTGTTCAGCTCCTGGTACGGTGCCGGGGGTGGGTTGGCTGGTGATGGGTGGTTCCCGGGCAACTTTGGAGGCTGTGCTGGTAGGGTAGACCCGTTACCCACGCCGTTCAGCCCGTACATCTCATTGTTGACGTTGCGATGACCACAGCTCAGGCGTATTCCATCATTGGAGACTAACTGCTGACTAGTCATCATAGATGCTGAACAGAAACAGAATCCAAATGATCCGTTAGTATTGGCATACATTTTATCAAACTTTTTGCACAAGGCTTCCTCTCTTGGGTCAGACATCTTTCTAGTTTGCTTGCGGTCAGAAAATACCAATACTTCAAAACACTGAAAGTGCGAGTTTAAAATTAAGCAAAATTTGTGCCAACTTTTCACCTTAGCAACTGTCCATCAACAGTCATCCTTTCTTAATGCAAATTTGACTTAAATTCCTAACATGTAGTCTAAAGCACAGAGGTGTGCCCTCTATGGTCTGTGCATAGACAGGATAAACCTCCAACGCCCTAGTTCATTCTTATAATACAAAACATAAAATTTCATCTTCCACAGAATATGTTAAAGACTTCCATTCCTAACATTTAGTCTAAAGCACAGAGGTGTGCCCTCTATGGTCTGTGCATAGACAGGATACAACTCCAACGCCCTAGTTCTTTCATGCAGATCAGCCTGTCATCTCCAATTAGTGAATGATCTCTCATACCTTGGCTTCGGAGAGTCCTCATCTCTTCTGTGTCGATGTAAGCATACTCCTGTTCCCTTCCATTCCTGCAAAGACAGTAAGATTTGCCATCAAGATTAGGAAATGGCCACAAGACACTGTGCACAAGAATTATCTTGTTATACTATGGTATCAGACTACTTATGATGGAATTAGATTGTAAAATTATTGTGGTTTGGCAAGTCAAAGAATTCAGGCAGGCTATGTCCCATAGGTAACAACAGTTTGACCCTTCGAGGTATTCGTGGATTTCAGTGGGTTTTTTTTTATTCTACTGTTGGGCATCTGCAAGGAAAAAAGCAAAAGGATTTTTCATGTTATTAGTCTTTGCGATGATTATGTAGTTAAAGAAAACATGGCGTTAGGTACATGAATGTGGGACAAAAAGGGATCTTTTCTTGGACTTGCCCGGTTGTGAACTGTTCACACGACATGACATTTCAGAAGTTCATGAATGATGCCCAATGGACGCCCTGGAGTACAATGTTCACGTCAGGGCCCAAATGAATATTCATGATCTTTTCTGTACATGTACAATTGAATAATTGAAGGTCGTTTTTTTTTTTTTTTTTAACATCTGGCGCTCCGACAGCACTGAATTTACACTTTTCATTTACACTGGATCAGAAAAGACCCAAATTTCAATAAAATACCGAGAAATAATCCCATAAAAACTAAGAATCTGTGAAACCCAGCGAAAAACATTTTTGTATAAACATACTTGAAATGAAGGATGTAATAACCTATTTTTACAAAAAACTATCCTCCAGTCTAGTTGTGACTGACTGATAAAAACACGCATGTAAAGAGCTACATGTACATGTAACAGCTACATCATGAATATTTATGAGGTACAGCAACAAGACATCCCCATCCTATTTCCTGTGAGGTTTTCCTGTTTTTATAAGTTACCAACCACCCAACCAACTCACAAACCACATGGGCCTTGCTCACCCTGGATTGAATCTTGTTTTTGGAGAGTTTACTAGGGCACTGGGTTATTTCAAAGTAGAAACAGAAACATTTTCTCAAACTAAACAGAAAGGTTTCGGGGGGGGGGGGGGGGGGGGGGAAGCCCGCTTTATCCCAACTCCATCCAAAGCAGTTAAACTGTGCCGTTTCTTTCTTTATTTATCTTCAATGGCATCCTCGCTCATACCGGTAGTAATTGTTTTCAGTTCATGTTACAGATTGACAACTGACACTCTGAAAGTACAGCCAACACCATTTTCACTTCAGACACATTTCATGTTAATCTTCAAAATTCTACACTCCATATCCTTGATCGAAAACGCCACTCAAAAACTATAAAACTAAAGCAAGTTTTCAATTGAGCGTTTTTCCTGTTCAAATCACACAGTTAGTCCATAAACCCCATATCATCAACCGAAAGTCATATTCTGAAAGAAAAGACACCACCATTTGCACTTCCAATATTTTTCCTATTAGCCTACAGGTCTTCTACAATAATTCCCATATCAATCGAAACCACAAGGTAATAATATACAAGGAAGTGGTGTTTTGAACTTCAAACACCATGGGGGAAGCTACGATATATTCAAGATTTATATATAACAAGCTTGGAAACAGTTTAGCCAAATCGAAAGTGGCCTCATATTTCCTTCTAATCACGGATCCTGATCAAGTATCGCGGGCTTGGATCAATTTTGAAAGTAACCACAGATTCCTTTCACTTACTTGTTGTCCTTTTTCCGGCATTTTTTCTGATAGCAGACGCATCCCACGATGACGGCAATCAGAAGAGCGCCCCCGCCCACCGCAGCTGCAATAATGACGACTAAATCTGGCCCATCCGTGTTGCCTATAAACATTGTGAAAAATGGACAAAAAGTGACAATACGCATTTAACTTCGTAACAATCAGTCGCTCAAATTCATTACACTTAAGGTTTACTTTAAAAAGCTTACTAGTTATTTCATATTTCAAGCATTTTTTTTATTTACCAGTAACTCTCCATATTGTTTTTTGGGAAAACAGTGAATATTCCTTGAAACAAGATTTTTTTTTTAATCATTAACCCTAAAGTCCTAGCCATCACAATTGTACTTGGGATAAACAACTGAGTATTACAGAATCCTATGAGTGTTGTGCACACTTATTTGCTGAAGTATTTCATACTAGTTTACTAGTACTTGGCATTTTGTAGCTTTAGGCCCCCCAAAAAAGTCTCCGGTTTCTGGTATGCGCGCACGTCGCCGTAGCCATGCGCGTTGGCAAAATGAAACAGTTTTTTTTTCAATGAAAGATGATGTCTCAAACCGCCAAACTCACTGGTTTGACTGGAATCCTGCTGCTGCACAATTATAACGTGTTTTTAGATTGGGTTATGGTCGAGAATAAGCTTTATGTGGCCTCTCTGGACTCCCATATATTTGCACTAAGCTTAGTTGGGCACCATTTGCAGTCATCAGTCATCAAAACAAAAAAGCCGCGTCGCCGCACCACTTTGTGGACAAGCTCCATACCAGAAACCGGAGACTTTTTTTTTTGTCCTTAGGTGAGGTTAGGGTTAAAACTGTCCAAAACTACTATTGGCTAAGCATGTTCACGTAGTTTTATGCCAAGTGCTGCATGGAGATTGAATGACAGGGGAAACTTCACTGAAAGATCGCCAAGAAGGCGAGGCTAAACAGACATCCATAAATTCACTACATGTACCTGCGTCTGTTGTCAGGCTCTTCTCACTAGGTTTTGGCTTGATCCCCGCTTCAAAATGAATGGTTGGTATTGGCATGGGGGTTGTTGGTGGCCTTGGTGTGGTTGGCTTGTTACTGAGAAAAAAAAATTAAAACTGAAAATTATTTGCATAAATCACAAACCACCTACTCGGGTGGCGGTACATTTAACATTGCAGCCGTCAATAATAAGGGCTGAGCAGCACTCAAACTTGAATTGCCGTCAAACTTTGTGGTGTCAGTTCTTACTACTTTTACTAATTTCGATATGTTTACCGAGATACTTGAAAGAAAAGAGGTCCTCCATGTTTTGCTGATTTTAGTAATGTTGTGCAAGCCCGACCAGACTCAAAACCGACTTCGGGTCGGTTTGTCCATCATTTCAGTTGGGTCGGGTCGGTTTCAGTTTTGCGTTTGCGAAATTTGGGTCGGGTTGGTTAAGCTATTTTGGAAAAACCCGAAAATAAACCGTAATAAACCGAAACAGTTTGGAAATTCACACGGTGCAAAATTTACTGCAGAGTCACTGTGTCCGGTACGTCCAAATGCGGCCAACCTGACCTGAAGCACAACATTAGTTCTTAGCTAAATGAGCCAATGCAATATGGCTGTGCATATATTCGATTTTTATTCCAACTTGGACTTGATCAAATACTCATATATTAGATTTTGAAATGCACTGATAAGTTAAAATGTGGAAGGCCTAAACTGCCACCGATTGGGATTTGTATTCTTTGCGTTTGTCAAAGATTTCTGAAGAACTTGTTAATATAATATAATGAACAGGTTGCCAAATGGCCTCATAATTGACCAATTTGAAGAAGAAATTAGAGGTAATATTCCTCATGGAAACTTCCAAATCATGCCAAAAGTGGCACTGAACAAAACTGTGGCATTTATAATAATAATAATAATAATAATTTGGGAGGCTAATCATCCTTACTCGCAGCTGGTATGCTGAATTGCGAAGGACGCCGCTACAATAAAACCACACAATCAATAAACCACACAACCTGGAGACCACCCGTATTTTTTGAATATTTGACTCGAAAATATGCTATTGTGATATTTGGTTTTGATTGAATATTTAAACATGTGGTATATTCAGCACAACGCTTCAGTTAGATTTTTTTTTCCTCACTCTAGATAATCTTTAGCTAATCGCTTTTGACTAGCCAAAACGTATGCACACATGCAACATTCTTGAAAGACTGCCATGACTGTTATTTCTTCTAAGTCAGCCAGCTCAGTAGCTTGATGAAGTAGTCCAGTTCAAAGGATATTCGGGATAAAATGGAAGCGTCTTGTAAATCCGACGATACGCGGACGCCCATTGTGCTCATAATCAATGCAAGAGCATCATGCGATCGTCTCCTTGCACATTCATGTGCCTTCGATGAATGTTCCATTATTCCGAATGACCTGCGACCAACATCACTGATTTGAAAATCACAGGTGTGTGGAAAAACGCACACCTGGATTTTTCTAGGAGTGTGATTTTTCTAGGCGTGTGATTTTTCCAGGCGTGTGATTTTTCTAGGCGTGTGATTTTTCTAGGAAGGTGATTTTTCTAGGCGTGTGATTTTTCTAGGAGTGTGATTTTTCTAGGAGTGTGATTTTTCTAGGCGTGTGATTTTTCTAGGAGTGTGATTTTTCTAGGCGTGTGATTTTTCCAGGCGTGTGATTTTTCTAGGCGTGTGATTTTTCTAGGCGTGTGATTCTGTGGTCCAAGCCTGGGACTGAACAATCTGGAATTGTTTTTCAAAATATTCATCTTGGTTTACAATAAAGCCATATTCTCTTCACAGACATACTTTATTTTCCACAAATTATGAAGTATAATTATGCTGTAAATGTATGCCGAGGTGTGCGGTACTGAGGGATTCAGGCGTGCAATTATTCGCACTTCTCAGGAAGCATTTAGGTGTGTGATGGCGTGAGGGTGTGATCGCACGCCTCAAAACAGAAGGACTGCTGCATGCTTGCCAGTCGAAATACCAAAATGGGTTATTGTCACAACCTGACTAGTTTTAAGAAACAAAGTTTATTCTGTGTTATCATGGGCTTTTTTTACAATGGAAAATGAATTTACGTTGAGCAGGAGCAAGTGGGGCACATATCCTCAAGCAGCATTGATGAATCAGTATTGCCAGGCCAGATGTGCACATCGCCGTTCTCTTGGGAGAAACACACCAGGTTATTCTCCTCCGTATGTTCGCACTTTCTACACTCGCTGTCGTCATTGGTGCAGACACAAGCCACGTAGGAAGATTGATTGGGACGGCAGCGATACACATCTGGGTCAAAAAATAATTAAAAATAAGAAGGATTTGATAATAATAATAGTAATGTGGTGCTTATAATAATGGTATCAAAGCACTTCACAATTATTACCCCTGTTCATCATGCCATGAGACCGTTCAGCAGCTCGAGATCGGTGCAATCTGGTCTCTAATTCACTGGTACCCATTTATACTCCTGGGTGGAGAGAGGCAGTTTTAATAAGGTGTCTTGCCCAAGAACACCAGCACCATGTGCCCTGTCAGGGTTCGAACCCACGTACATGTACCATGGCACATGAGTCCAACACCCTAACCATTGGACCAAGGCACAGCACTTCAAGCTCAAGAAATGTACCGGTACTGAAGATCAAATCACCTTAACAATTTCAAAAATTTAAACTGCTAGAGAGCATCTAGTATTGGAGTAAACTGAGAAAGTTGAGGATTTATGTGCCAACAAACTGCTACATACATGTATGCAGTTTGATTCGATCATCTCACGTTATATTAATACAAACTCAGCCTGACCTACCAAATTGTCTGTTACATTTGTACACCCAGATTTTGTACTAAAACACTGCTCCCATTCATTGTGCACATAAATGCACCGAAGCTTCATGTTCATGGTTACCAATGTATTACGAGAGTCAACTATATTACGAGAGTCAACTTCTCGGTATTATCAGTGCAAACTACCGGTACATGTAACTGAGAACAATTAATTGATAAAAATCTTACTGGACCGTCAAAACTTGTTGCTCGCTGGCCAATTAGCTATGTATTTTGAGTCTAGGTAGCCTACATGTATATGTTCAAAACAACTGGTAACCAGTCTTCTTAGCTTACATTGGTAACCCATTGCTGGGGCGTTTCTCCACTCATCGCAAGTGTCCAGAAAGTCGAAGAGATTATTTGCCACACGGTCTACGCAGTCAGAACACCACGTTGTGCAATTTGGTAATCTGAAGTGAGAAAAAGTTACCAGTATTAACAAGAAAATGATAATGATATTTTTTTATTTGCTTATTTCATAAAGTAAGGAAAGTCAAGCTTTCACTTACAATGCATGGTAATATTAAGTAATTCCTGAATTTCATTCCAACTTTACAACATTTAATTTTCACATTTCCAAGTTCTTTCAAGTGAAATCTACACATGTAGTAAAACCCTAACCATGTTTAAATTTGTACTTGAAGTTGAACACCGGCCTACATGTACATGTAGTCCAAAGTCCAAACTAATACACAGCCACGTTGGACACCCACATGTAATGTATTGTAGGCAGTTCCACGTACATTTCACAGATTCAAAGAAAGAACGAAATTCCATTGTGATAAAATTACGCAAGCTGAACCTCAAAAATGTCAAGTACGTGTAGCCGATGTCAAATACTACCGACAGCACATGGGGTCATTGGGGTGTGTATACTGTCCGAATATAACGTTTCTCACCGGGTACACATAAACATCAATATAGTTCAAGTAAAATTTGCTTGTCCTACAGCATATTAAATCTGTTTTACCTTTCAAACGGAGTTTTGGCGGAAGACACAATTTGACTCTTTTTTTAATTTACAAATAATATCAATATGCACATGCGTTAAATTCATTTGGAGAATACCATTTACGAGTGTGTGTAAAAGTAATTGACAAAATTCTAAGAAATTAGCCCTGAAGACATTTGTTTTTTTTCACTCATCAGTTTTTCATATGCAGTTAAAAAGATGATTTTTTTGCTAATCACTTTGATATTTCATGCACAGATAGTTTGCGATGTTGGTGAAATTGTTGACTGAGTTCCGCTGTGCAAGAAAAGCAGAGCTCTGACTCATTTTTTGTTTTGTCTTTTATTTTGTCACAATCTTTCATTTGTTTTTTTTTTTGTCTTTTATTATTTTTTTTCATTTTTACTTTCTGTGGTGTCCTTTTAGACTGTAACAATCACAAAATGCAAAAAAAAACCACCCCAAAACAAGTAATTTCTTAACCTGGGTTAACTTTGAACAGTTTGTGGTTTAAATAAGTCAAAGTCCAAAAAGCCTAAAGAGCAGATTTTGTTAGCCCCGAGGCGTGAATATCCTTAATCAATATTCAAACTACAGCAGGTCAAGGATGAAGGGAAAGAATGGTAATTTCCTGAACCAGTGGCAGCATGGCCTTACAGAAGCGAGAACTCCGACATATGAATTATTCATCTACACTGCCTAAAAGGAATAACTGAAGGGGCCTTCCTGCTGTTTTTGTAATGATAATGGAGCTGTGGAGATTTTGCTGTCCGAGCGAATGGGCGCCATCGGGATAGCAAGGCCATTCCTTCTCATTTGTGTAAATTGCACTGTGTCTGAATAAAAAGTATGACAACCGTCACGGTGGATGGGTTCGATCATCGGATCCGTGATAGATGACAAACTGGCCATTTCTAGGAAAGGTGATCTGTGCTGGCTCCTGGCACAATATTCCTGAATTACTGAAATTGTCCAGGACTATATGTAATGGATACCATAGACACATTTTTTTTTGGGGGGGGGGGGAGAATTGTTACAGATGTCTGTGTACTTGGAGCACCATTTGAGTTGGTTGGATGAGTTGCAGAGATGTGGGATTATTTAAGAGTTTGGAATGATTCTGAAGGTACCGTATGACTGAAAGACGATAATACATGTACATGTATGAGTCACAATATGGTCAAAAATGGATCCCAAACGGAGACAACTAAAGAAAACACACACATACCCGGTACATACGGGTAGAAGTGGAGACTATTTATAACTAAGATTGAGTGAGGGAGCTGGGGGGGGGGGGGGACGGGTAGATCATGGAGGCCGGGAAGGAAAAATCCATGAGATAAATCGGAAGTGGATTTGAGGGTCACCGAGGGATACAGTGCATTGTAGGGTCTTCTTTTGGTCTTACATGTAATTCTAAAAGGTAAAAACACTTTTAATTAAGGTATCGGTAAAACCTTAAAAATCTCATATTTCACAACTGACACAAGGAATTCTTTCAAAAAAATCCTGACCAAAACTCCTGAATTCAGAAAAAAAATCTTGACAAATCTCACCCCTGATACAAATATGTAACAAAGTCAGCCATACACGTACATATGTACATGTACCAGTAGTAACGTACAATTATACATGTACAATGTAGGAGGCCACAGATACAGTGAACAGGCAATAGCTATCCCTAACAGTCCTGAATCCTCCAATTTCAATACGATTTTGCACACCCCCTAGGGAGTTAGGTTAAAACTGATGATGTACTGTAGAGTAAACATACTTCAAATTGTCTTTGTGGCCAGAATAGACAGGTGGCCACGATGGACAGGTGGCCTCATTACTCAACAGGTGATCGTGATGTTCAAAGAGATTCAGCATTCACTGAAGTTACAAAATGGTAGGCCTATATATTTATCAATCAATTACATCAACACCATTACATCAATTACCCGGTACATTTACCAGAACAAATTACACAAATTACACACTACAACTCTCTTTACAAAAAAAACCACCTACATGTAATTCCAAAACTTCACTTTTAGTCTTTCACTTTAGTGTTTGGGGTCAATTTTAGCGTCATGCTACTGTCATCCTCATTTTAATGGCATTTATCAGGAAGGTTTCCTCCTACGCACAGCTGCCAAAGGGGAACAGAGTCATGAAGGAAGAAGGAACAAAGTTACAAAACAAATTGCTGCCAGCTGTGAGAGTTCAAACCCAGAGCTGAGATTTTCTAGGAAAGACTGCAGCATCCGAGCCCACACTCCTCTCAGGGGGTTGTCTAGCCATAGAAGGGTTCACCCTCGGTCAAGTCAAGGAAGATGAAGTTTTCATCTTCCAAATAAATGTCACGCAGTCATTTACTGCGTCATTTGGGGAGGATACAGTGAGTAAGTCTGACTTCCAGATGGGCTCGTATATCATGGTCGTACTATCTACCTGAAGAGGCTTGCGAAATTAACCTATAAATAATTACGTGTGACTGTTTGGGGTCAAACTGACTGTGTTTTCCTGTTTTTCTCTGTTTGTGGTTTGCACAATAGTAAACCACACTACATTGGAAAATACAGTGCCCAGTCCTGACATTTCATCATAAATCACTCGACACAATTAAGCATTTCAAATACAATTTACCAACGTGGAACCAACTCAAGAAACAATATTATTGTAAATATTCCTGAGTTCCAGCCCTGAGTAAATAAAACCTGTTGTTGATGCAATGTAGTCCAAACTTCTTTTGGTAGATTTTAAGGGGTAAAAACCTTGTCTGTATACACAAACACAGAAAAATGTGCACCAACAGCAAAGTTCATACACACGCACATTAGATAATGTACATGTAGCAATGGGTAGGCCTACGGTACACCGGGTTATAGGGAAGTTTATTATTGTAAGACAAATTCACTTTTGTCAGAGCAGACTTGCTGGATGGTTGCGTATTTCGTTCTCGATTCTTATCAGTTAATTTTCAAAGCCTGCCGCCTCCCCTTCAACTGCCTGTTTATTTCAGTCCTCACAAATACCTCGTGGCTATGAGTGTACATGTATGCCCCCACAACTACGAAACAAGAATGTGTACATACATAAAACCACACATTTATTATTTTTGTAACGTCTACCTGCTCATGCATGTACCGATACAGTGTATGTATTTCTTTTACTTCACAATGTTCAAGCGCATACTCAAAATAAAATAATTACAAATGCAATCTTTCCTTATCAGGAAATTGTCAATTCAGTCAGATGCAGCCCTCACAACAAAATTGCTCTATCAGTCTTATTATCACACCATGGCATTGCACCCTGTTTTCTAGGAATACCGTACAACGGCCCGTAATCAACTTATGCACTGCCTGATTCATATTCAGTGAAGGCCACACAGCACGAATGTAACAGTAGTATGACAACAAGTACTGTCCTCTGGCAGTTTCAAGCACCGCTGGTTTCGCAAGATTCGACATGACAGTTTCCACAGAAATGTTTGCTTCCCAACAAAATATAATAAATTGCTTTCCTTTCCGATTTAATTCAGCGTGGTATGCCAGAGAGCAAAGCCTCATCAAGTGTTATTGCCCTTTTTTTCCATGAAGGGGCATGCATTAAAGGTGCAATGTTGTTTCATTACATTTCTAAATTTTCACGTTTGGAATTTTTTTTTACAAAACATTTTTTTTAAGTTTCATCATGTGCTATAAAACAAAATGGCCGAATAAATTAAGCATCAGATATTTCATTTGTGTTTAATTAGGAAATCCTAATCAAAATTTGATTAGGAATTTGATTTCTCTTCAAAGAAAAAAACAGGGTTTGCTTCCAAAGTTTAACCTTTTAAATGCCTTAAAAAAAAAGGCATTTTGTTTGTCTTTTGATGATACTGGAAAAGTGGAGTGTGTAAAACAAACCACAAAAGAAGTTAGGGAGGACATTACAAGCTGATGAAAGCTCGGATTCCAGAGAAAATCATGTCCAAGCAGCTGTTTACATTTGTCAAGTGAATGTTCTGCCACTTCTGGGCCGACATTCCAATAACATTTCTCAAGCAGAGAAAAAACAGAACGTCAGGATGCAATGCACAACATACAGATGGAGCAGTTTATTCCTGGAAAGACATACATCAACAGTACAACAAGTATGTACGTACTGTACATGTACATACTGTACACACTTTCCCTTTTCTGTTCAAAACTTCAATTTAGCATGGAGTGTCACGTAGGGTGATTTTCTTGTAAGTTGTAGACGTCATGTAGGGGCAGATATTACGCAAAGTTATTTCATTACATATCTATATATTTTCATAACATTGCAAATGCTTCACAAAACATTTTTTGTACATGTAAATTAATGCCATGGAATGTACAAGTCTGATGTCCCAATGTTTGTTGTAATAGTTCCTCTCCCCATGCAATTTTTAAGTTTCACCCCGAAAGAAACATAAAATATTATTATTTTTTTACATTTTTC